AGCACCGCCGCCTGCCGCCTCGCAGTAAGTGCGACCTCACTGTCACGCTGGGCTCAGCAAATAGTCCCAGAAACGAGACCGCGCCTGCCATGTCTTCGTAACCACCCACAATCGCACAAGAGATTGCTCCAGGTCCAAGGATGGCCACCAGTCATAGTCGGCTGCCACCGGACTTGGATATGAGCCATCCTGCAGAATGGTTGCAGTGGCTCCGCTGAATAAGGAGCTAGGTCCGACTACAAGGCTTCACTAGGGAGGCAGACAAGGTGGGTGTGCTACTGAGGGTGCTAGGAAATTCCGCCATCACTCTACTGGAAGGTCTGATGGCACCCAGGGACACAGAGGCATGCACTTTCGATGAGCTGACACAGGCTATGACAAGACACCTCATGCCTCAGCCAACTAAGAACCACCACCGCTACGACTTTGCACAAAGAGAGCAACAAGCGCAAGTCAGCGAGTGAATACATCACAGCACTCCGGGCAATTGCGATGTATTGCCAATTCGCTGACATTGTAAATGACTTCTCGAAAGGTTCATTAGTGGTGTGTGAGACAGCCATCTCCGCCGCAAACTGCTGGCAAAAGATGACTTCATGATGATGGAAGCAATGAATATGGCCATGGCCTTTGAGAAGGATAATGCCCACGAGGCGGCCCACAGCCCACGTACTGAAAGGAGAACTCACCGCATCCAGCGAGATGGGTCCTCTTCCGTAGATTCCCACAATGAGGATGTCCACTGAGCTTTGGACCGATCCGACCGACACCACTGCTCCCAAGCTACAAGCACATCATCGAACCAGCGATCATCTGATGCACCTCAAGGGACCTGTGCCAGCTGCAGAGAAAACCACGAGCGTCGGACATGCAGGTTTTGGGACGCCACATGTCGCCGCTGTGAGAAGACTGGGCACATTGGTCGAGTCTGCCGCTCCAAGACCTCCAGAGCATGACCCAAGCAACATGACCATAAGGCCTACATAGAGGAGGACTTACAGTCCATCTCTCCAGCCAGGTACTTCAACTTCCTTCCCCGGGGTCCAATAAGCTTAGGGTACAACTCAAGATAGACTCTGAAAGAGCTTTGCCCTAACGGCGGTCCTCCTCTCTGCCCGGCCCCCATAGTGCTATGGGACTTCCAGAGAAAAAGAATTCAGCTAAAGGGGATGGGCACCTTCAAGGTCCAGTTTAAGAAGTACACCAAGAATTTGAACCTCATCAAAACTGAAGGCCCATTCACTAGCCTTCTAGGCCTAGCATGATTCGGGCTGTTAGGCTTAGCTATTTCAGGGCTTAATCTGATTTCCCCAGGGGCAGATTTCGAATCGATCTGCCAGGAGTTTCCATCAGTCTTCAATGGAACCCTGGGCCTGTATAACGGACCCCTGAATTCCCTACGGCTCAACCCCACGGTGCAATCCATTTGGGTCAAGACCTGTTTGTGCTTAAACCCAATACATAACAGGTATCTTTCTAATAAGCAAGCATCCCTAGAGTGCCATGGACTCTGGTTTAGCTCACCACCTTGTTACAGTCGGGACTTTAACATTTGCAGTCAAATACTTCTTATCTCACCTGTCGTCTACCCTCTCACATTAATTTAAGATGGCAAACTCAAAGGCAAGCAGCAGGCAATTTGCTGCCTCAGGCAGACAATCAAGTGTGGCACTGTTAGTGACATTGCAACTTCTGTAGGCATTGCACAGAGAACCAGAAATCTCTCTGACTGTTCCTACACATCCTGCCTGGACTCACATACACCCTGCCTGAAGCAAAGCAAATACAATCGAGATTAGCTGATCAAAAGAAGGCACATTCGCTCCCACAATATGTAACAATGGCAATTATCCTGGAAGGCTTGGAAAGAGATTTAGACATAGGCCTTTTGCCTGATCCAGCAGAACACTTATTATGGTCTTAATGAAATATTTACCCAATATATCTGCCGGAAGCTCGCAGTGGATCACACCGAGTAGGTGAAGTTAATTATTTAAACAGGATCTGCACAGGAGTGCCAGGCCTAATGAACACAGCAATTCTCTTCAAATGTCTTGCTCCTATGAGGCAGCTGTGGAGACTAAAGGTCCCCGCCTTCCCGCAGCTATCCAAATCTCCTCCTCTCCAGGGTTTTCCCCAAGCAATCTGAGACTGTGACTGCACGCCTGCCTTTGCTCCTCCCACTTCATGCCTTCCTTGGTCCTAGGGGACAAGGGGGAGAGGAGTTTGTCACAGCAGGAGGGGAGACCCCCATGCTTCTTCATTCTCTGCTTTTTTGCCTGATCTGGACTTCACTCTGCCTCAGACTCTCTCAGCTCACTAAGTCAGTCACAGAATGGTGGCAGTTTGGTATAATCAGCTGGCATCACTTCCTATACATATTTATTACATTTTTTTTTTAAATTGCTAAATTATTTGCCAATATTTTCCTTGTAGCTGTGGAGGTACTGACTCAGCCTCCCAATTTGAGGAAGTATTTGCTGGAAAATTTTTTTTTATATATTTTTCCCTTTACATCGCCATGCCCGTATCTTCCCCAATTCTCCTTCTACACTCAACTTACACATTATCTCCCCTGCCCATAACTGCTCTCTCTCTCTCTCTCTCTCACACACACACACACACACACACACACACTTCCCTGGTCCTTTCACATGCATTTATTCCTCCCATAACACCCTATTTTATCCCCTGCCATTCAATTCCCAGTCTATTTATTTACTTATTAATAGTAAATATTCAACTATCTTTTTATTTCACAACCTAATTTCCCTCAGCACCTCCTCCTCTGGATCTTTGCCCTCAGAGTAGGGAAACCATATTTCCTTCCTCCCACCCAGACTTCTCTGTCTCACGGCCACCTTTGCTCAGCAGACCAGACCACTGTTTGAAAAAACACTGACGTCAACAGTGGAAACCTCAAAAGTTTGCTTTTCATGCATTTTTACCTTCTAGACACAACACTCCAGCACAAAGTCTGCCAAATCACACACTCTGGGAGTTCTAGTGGTCCTCTGCTCCCTTATGCTAAAATTGGTGGAGGGGTGGGCAATTCACCATAGCAATCATGCTTGCAAAATTCACCTCCATGAATCACAGTTCATGCACGCTGCAGCTTCAAGCTTTCATTACATCATTTCCTGCTATTTTTGCAAATCTGGATTGTAAAAAAAGATATCTAAGAGTCAGAAACCTTATGAGAGAGTCCTCCTTAAAAGTAAGATAGATAAAGGCACTATGCATGGGCCTTGAAGAGAAAAAAAGCAGGCAAAACTTGGAATTGGGTTATCTGGTATCTGATCAGAAAAGGACAGTTGCAAAAAAGAGTGCAGGATTTCACATGTCCTGAAGAAGCTTAGGAAGTACACTCATCTTCATTACCTGTCAGACAGGCAGATCTGTAGTTGTTATTTATTTCCACACTACAACACATATTATTTATTGGCAGGATTACAAAAATGAACAATAGGAGGAAGGAAGCCAAGTTTAGAACATAGCACAAGGTTATATTTGAGGAGGAGGAGGAGTTTGGATTTGATATCCCGCCTTTCACTCCCCTTCAGGAGTCTCAAAGCGGCTAACAATCTCCTTTCCCTTCCTCCCCCACAACAAACACTCTGTGAGGTGAGTGGGGTTGAGAGACTTCAAAGAAGTGTGACTGGCCCAAGGTCACCCAGCAGCTGCATGTGGAGGAGCGGGGAAGCGAACCCGGTTCCCCAGATTACAAATCTACCGCTCTTAACCACTACACCACACTGGCTCTATTTGAGGAGAAAGCACTAGTGCAAGAACTGCCAGCATGTGGGATTTTTATGTCTCAGTATATTTCTTCACTAATTTCAGAAAACTACATCAAAAAAAGATCTAGTGCTGCTCCTTGTCCTCTGTGTGTACCAATGCTTACAATTCCTCTTTCCCCCTCTTTCAGCCCCATTCTACTATTTAATGCCTAACACTTCCATTGCAAATTATGCCCAAATCCAGTGTCAAACAAATGTATCCTTGCCTATATTTGACCGTTTGAAACTGTTCAGTAGAAAGGAAACTACGAGTCATTCCAGGATGCTGTCACCATTTTCATTTACCAGGGGCGGGCAGAAGGTGGATCAGGATCTACTGGGAGATCTCTGGCCGCTCTGCAGCAGATCAGCAAGGCTTTCCGATTGTTTCACGAGGGCGACGTCAGAGACACCTTTGCGGCGGGGAAAAGGCTTCGGGCGCAAGATGAGCAAACAAGGCCAACACCGCGCAGAGCTTAATGTGTGCAAAAGTGGCATTTCCCAAGACTTCCTCGCTTTCCAATTTCACGTCTCCAGCCGCACCCAAGAAGATCGGCTGCCTCCTCCCCGCAGTTTGGTGGGGTGGAAACGTTGACGCGGCTGGGGGAAGAAAACAAGCTCCAGGAGAAAGGAGCCTCGTGCGGAAACGAAGGCGCCGCTTTCTCCAGCCTTAGCGACGCGGATCCATCGCGCAAAGATTATCCCCAGAGGCCGCTTCAAGAGCAGCGACAAGGAAGAAGGGGCGCGAACGGGGCAAAGCAACGAACCACGAGCAGAAGCCATCCGGGGCCTTATGTTGGGGCACCTGAAAGGCTGCTGCACATCCATCGGATGCTCAATGGCAAGATAAACATTTGGGAAGTCTTTTTTTTTTAAGGTGCACGAGACGCTGCGGCAAACTAACCGGCTCCCCCACCCCCCCCTCTCCAAAAAGCAATAAATAACTCCGCATGCGACCCTACGGGAAAGGGGTTTAGCACAGCCTACATTACAAGCCACCACACAGCCAGCAAAGGGGGGGGGGGGGAGAAAAAGACTGCGCCGGCGCATAGCTGCGGCTCCTTACATACCCATCCGCTCCTCGCCGTCCAGAGGCGCGCCGCATGCGCGCTGCAGCCCAGCTCGACGGCAGGCGGCGGGCGAATGAGGCTGGGCGGCGCGAGCCAATCCGTTTATGGGGAGGCGCGGCCTCCGCGCCTATTGTGATGCCCGAGGCGGGAGGAGGGCGGGGCTTAGGCTGTGTTTGTCGGGCGAAGCGGCCGGGGCCATTCGGTGCCCGGCTCGGCGGAAAGTCGCGAGCGGGGAGGAGAGGTAGGGCTCCGGCTGGCGGGACGGACAGACTGACGAACGGTTAAAGGTAGAAGCGGCGCCCACGGAGCCGGGGCGGCAACATGGTGTCGTGTATCATCTCCCGAGTCGTCGTGTAAGTGGAGAGGGTGAGGGAAGCGGGGCCTCAAGAGGGACCGGTACCAACGGACTTTTCCCTCAGACTTGCGCGGGGGGTGGGGGAGGCATCTTCGCTCCTGCCTCTCTCGGCGCTGAGGCTTGTGGGGGCCGGAGGAGGAGAAGAATGCGGCGCTACTGCGCTTGCGCGGACAGCGGGGGTGCTAGAAGTGCCCTCTGGGACTTCCTGCTGCTTTGATACTTGGGGTGGAGCGAAGTGGGCCTTTCCGCAAAAGCGCCGGTTCCCCCTGCCAGCGCATGGCCATTTTAGGGTGCACGGAAAGCAATCCTTATGGGCCTCGTCGTGCTCTTAGGCGCGCCCCTAACTTACGCGGCTTTCCGCGTACACCTGAGAGCGTCAGGCTCCGGTGCGGCAAACGCGGGGATTTTGCGTGTTCGAGTCACAGGAAGCTCTCGGTGTCGCTGTTTTGGGACTACAATTCCCATTATCCCTGACCACTAGTCCTGTTAGCTAGGGATGATGGGAGTTGTAGTCCCAAAACAGCTGGAGGGCCAAGTTTGGCCATACCTGGCTTAGAGGCTGCCTTACCTCACGTGCGATCATAGATTCAGAGTTGTAGAGTTAGAAAGGATCGCAAGGATCATCTAGTCCAACCCCCTGCAATGCAGGAACTTCGAACCCATGACCCTGAGATACAGAGTATCGTGCTCTACCTACTGAGCCTATCCCTAAGGCATGTTGTGTAAGGAGAGGAGGAGATGCGCTGGAGCGGGGCAGATTCATGGCAGTTTATTTCTCAGATTTTGAAGTGGGGGGCGATCAGGCAGCCTGTTTAACTTTAGAGACTCTTTCCCCTCAGCTTTAGATATGTGTATACAGTATACCATTGTGGTCATTGGGTGGCACTCAAATTATATAATGGTCATCTTTTAAAAATCTGATTATGATTCCTGTTCACTCTAGGATCCAGAGCTGGTCACAACTATTTAAAACACCATACTAAACACGGTAAAGGCACGCTTGAGGCCACAGCCACCTTTGTTGTCTAGAGCTTCGCCCTGTCATTGAAAACCGGTTTGGGGACTGAGCCCTAGCCAGTGACTCTAAACAAGCTTTTATGTGACTCATAAGTTTTATTTGTAAACATGGTGCAGCAGAACTCTAAGCGAGAAGCTCCTTATATTTTTGTAGATCTCCCCCCTCCCCCATTTTATAAAAAAAATAAGGTTTTATTAGTATGATAATACTGATGGGTCTACTGATGAGTATGACCCAACAATGCCAGGTCTTCATCCTTGTCTGTTTGCTTAAATTCATACGATTTAGAAACTAATTGGGAGATAGATGAATGTCCACTGCCTATAAAGAGACTTGAAGTGATGGGTTTGGCTGGAACTTGGATACACCATTTTGTGTTTTTATCAGAAATACCTTTGCCATCATGGGGGAGGGGACCGTAGTTGAAAAGTTAAAGTGTACTTTTCCTATTGAAAGATTAGCATTTTTTGGTCATTGGGCAAAGTGTTGAAAGAAGGTATATTTTTCTGAGAAATCCCATATATCATCCATTAATTACAACATTTAGATGATTAAAGATTAAATGCATGCTGTAGTGATTTTAACCTAGTTTAACAAGAATTAGTGGTAGTCCTCATAGCTATAAGAATGTGATCTGGTAAATGTAGGTCCAGTCCCAAATGGCAATCTTGTGGCAGCTTAAATACTAATTGGGCAACCCTTATAATTTATTTCTAAATACAGTGTGATTTTTAAAAAAACAAACAGTGCCTATTATTCTGAGGACTGTCTTAAAATTGTGGTATAAAAACAATCAAATGTTTTATGTCAGCCATATAAATTAGCATACACATGCTTTGATTTGGAAAAGAGTAGGTCTCTGTTTGCTGCAGAGAACTCTGGCCCCGACAACACCAAGCAACCCTTTTTCTTTTAAGTACTCTTTTTTCGAGTTCAAAGGGCAAAGTGATGTGGCCTTATGAGGCCCACACTTGAAGTGAATAAAATTGTGATGTAAACCAGGCATTTTGAGAGTGTCTGCCATGTGAGCAAGCAATTAAATGGTAAATATATCTTCTTAAATGCATGTAGTCAACCAGTAGGCATGTTTCAGATATTTGGAATTCTGTAATGATGGGTATGAGGTGGAAATTGCACAGACAACCATGAAACTGTCATCTCATGGAAACGTTTCTGAGCAGGCAGTACTATATCAGATCCACTAAATTATATATGGACTGAAGGTGGCAGCAGTTGCAGCTTTGAAGGTATGCATTATCCAAGAGTTTGTGAACGTTTCCTTTTAAATCAGTCTTTCAACTTTAATATTGGTCTCCTGTTGGTGCATGTGTACAACAGCTTTGCAGGTTACAGCAAATTTGCAAGCCTACATTAAAAATTATCCTCCCAACTGCACATCTGTAGTGACTAATTATGGTAGTAGCAATTCACTTGCCTAAGGTGAACAACCATTCCTTTTTGCTGATTAGTCTGTGTGGTTCCTGTAACTCCTTAAATTTTAGCGCAATAGAAGCAAAAACCTAATAACGTTGCATACCGTATATGTACAGTGCATGCTTAATTTAATTAGATTAGAACATCATTCCACTAAAAGTAAACAAAATGGGCAGAATTCACCTAACCAGCTGTTTCACCATAAGTCCTGTGCAAGGATATCTGCTTGAGCAACAGGGCTTTCCCCTTTCCTTCTCCTGTGCCCCCCCCCAAGTTGACTGTGGGGAGGAGTCAGGAGATCCCCCTGAACAGCACAGGGGTGGGGGGGTGTCATTCTCCCTGGCAAGCTGAAATATTGGGGTAGATTGAATTATTAGATGAGCATGATGTTGAATTCCACCCAATGAGGAAGTGAAGCTAAAGTTGGTGAGAAGAGACAATGTTCTAGGGCTTACTAATGAATTAAAAACCGACACATCACCGGCTTCCAGGTGGCATCCACCCAAGAATTCTTAAAGAGCTTACACATGAAATTAAATGGTAGTTGCCTGCTAGTTCATGCGCACACTGTGGACCTTTTAGTTTTCTTCTTCTAAGAAGCTTCCATGGAAGCAAGAGTCTTGAGGATGATTATAGCAAAAGTTTGTCTGTTTTTCTGCAGGAGGTTTCTCTGCTGCTTTCACAGACTCGGAAACAAAACTAGAAGAGTAGAAAGCTGATCTATTGTGGCAACAGTTGGCCCAGTTGAATGGATTTTGATAGTGGAAAGAACAGTAGCTGCTGGTATGGTTGTTAATAAAGGAAGGAAGGAAGGAAGGAAGGAAGGAAGGAAGGAAGGTCCTTGGGGTGGCAGTGTCAAAGAGAATTGTTGTTTTTGCTCTGTGGCTGACAATGGCCAAATAGTGGGAACATCAACACATGGAAATATGTCTATCCTTGAGCATATTGATGAATGTGAATGGTTACAGCTGGGAGGTAGCATTCAAGCCCTAAAGCTAGGGCTTTAGCAGGTCTGTGCAGTAACACACAATAAATAGTACATGACTTTTCTTTTACTAAATATAAGTTTTGAGTAAGGTGTTCAGTCAGTAAAAGTTAATGTTTATGAAACTTTAAATTAAAAAACCTTGCCTTTCAATGAAAGGCATTTTTTAGGACGAAGAAAGCTTTCTTTTAAAAAAAAACCTTAGTAACTAAATATTAGCAGTGTCTGGGAGAATCTCAGGATTTTCACCCATGTTGTGCCTGTTGGCTTATATTTAGAGGCGTGTGTAAACTTGTCTCGTTTCTGAGACAAGATGTGTTCCAAGATGTGTTACTACAGGCTTCTGAATGAGATAGTTTTGATCGCCACTCTAGGAGTCATGTTGATCTCACCAGCTAGGTGATTCATTATGTGTTCATTCTCCAGAGTACTACAATGTCAACCCTGAGTACACTCTACATACTCCAAAAAGAGTTAACTTTCATGGCCTAGGTTCTTAAGGTGCCTTGGCCACACAGTTGACAAATAAGCCTCAGCTTGGATTCCTGCATAGCAGCGGGTTGCACCAGATGACCCTCGGTGGTCCCTTTCAACTCTATGATTCTACCCAACTTGGAAACTGGGGAGATGGTGAGGAATAGTGTAACTACCCAGGCAATCCCCACCCACCTTTGCAGCCTCAAAGTTGGAAGGAAGACTGGCTGACTCTTAACTTGACCAGAGGATGTGGCAAAGTAGATTTTTTGGAAGTCTGCTTGTGGGTAGAAGTATGTAATGAAGGGGTGTAAAAGGAGGAGCCGGTAAAATTAGCAACAGAGAGGCTGTGTAATTAATAACCAGAAGGATCTTTGCATGTTCTTTAATTTTAAGTGGTGGAGTTGGTGACATTTAGAGAATTGCAGGTGGGTTGGATTAAAGATACATCTATGAGTTCTGTATTTCAAATGGTGTAATGTTTTAAAGAAGTTTTCATTGGCAGCAAAAGGGTATTTCCAGTACAAAAATGCACTCATGTGGATCCAGCTTTCTAAAATGCTGTTTAAAGAATGAATGTTTTAGAATAGCCCTAACATTTAAAAAAAAATCTTTTTGCATCTCTGTTTAATGTGAGCTGCCAGCATGTTTGTATAATGTGAATTTTGTAGCACTAAGAACTGAAACAAAAGCAGCATTCAGAGAGCAGCTAGATTTTTAAAAAGGAAATCCAAGTAGGTAATTCCTTAGAGGGAAGTTGTCCCTTAAAATCAGTCTTCAGTATTTATATATGTTTTAAAAGTAGACCCATCTGTTGTTGCCAAGGCAAATCATGCCACTGAACCATGAAAAATATTCCAGGACTTTGTAGGTGAATGACTTGCTATAGATAGGCAATGTCTGTGGACTAGGAATTTCAAGGGATGCTGTGACTAGAATTCTTGGCAGCAAGACATGCTAGCAAACTGCTACTGAGAGGAAGAAGTCGAAGCACTGGGCTGATGGGATACTTATCCTATGATGTAAGATGCCTGTCATTTCTTCTGTTCTGATAGAATAGATAGTGGGCATCACTGTACATGAGTGTAACATCCGTCCCACAGTTATCTGCAAAATTGCTGCTGAAGGATTCTGCTGTGCAGAGCGATGCTAATTCTGTTCCAGCCAGTGAAAGTGGTTGGCATTTGGCCCTTGCTTAGCATTCTGTGTTGTATCTCAAGGAGGCTTTTTTTTTGTTAAACATGCTGCTGAGCTGTGGCTCATGTCAACCATGCTTGGAAGATTTTTTTAATTTTAATTTTTTTATTTTTCGCTCTGAAGCTGTAAGGGCTATGAAGTCTTTGGACATAGTCCTGACAATGCTTGCTTTCATACATTTATAAAAGAAGAGTAAGTATTGGTAGTCATCCTTATCTAATATATGTGATAAATGGAGATCGACAGTACAGCACTTTGATAGTAGATTTGTACAAAAATGCTGCTGCTGCTTCTTGAGCTATAGAATGCTCTTCCATTAAGCATGAGGAAGAGTTCTAAAGATTAATTGATTCTTCACCATGTAAATTGAAACAAGGCTCAAAGGAATGGTGAAAAACTGTGCCTTCCCAGTTACAGGGTTACGTTCTGGAGATTGCGCCAAAAGTCAAAACTGCATATAGTCAAAACCCACTGGGTTTAATGGCAGATGGGATTGCCAAAGTCATTTTTCCCAGAACCCTGCCCTCTTTTTATTTATTTTGCCATGCACATAAAGCTGAATGCACATAAGTTAAATATGTTTAAGTGTAACTATTATTGGGAGAGATAGTATCACTATTAGAGTGGCAAAGAGTGCCATAGAGTAATCAGGAACAATGGTTTTTGTATATATTTGGAGCCCAATATTTATCTTTTTGGCTAGAAAGTTGTTTACAATCACACTTTGTTGGTGGTGTCCTTAGATAACAGTTTTGGCTGCTTGTCAGACAATTGTTCAAGAGTGCCAGGCAGAGAACATTGCATGTACAATCACAAATCTGTCTTTTATGTGCTCTTCTAATACTCGGAAAAGAGTTGCTGTTTAAAACCTTAATGCAAATATTGGGAATAAAAAATCAGACTTATAAGCTCAACATGCACAAGATAGTATTTTCTAAACTGCTGGCGGAAAGGCTGTGACACAAGGAAAAACCTTGTGTTTTATTTTGCTATAGGGGTCTGCAAAATATCCAGTGATCTTGTTGAACGCAAGTCAAAGCTGTACTGTAACAAAGTGGCATTATGGATGGATAAAGGTTTTGATGTGATCACTGCTTTTTAAAGAGAGAGATCTGTGTCCTTTCTCACAATTAGCTGTAGAGATTTTTCCTAGTCCGTTGTTACCTATGATTTTTACTGTGTTCATAGCCCTTTCTATATCAGAGCGTATTCCATACTCTTTGAGAACTTGCCTCTCTTCCAGATGATCTGGAGATGGTCTCTGCATGTGTAAATCAAGGTCCATCTCCTAGAGAAGCTGTCAAAATAGGAAGGCTCAGTGCTACTTCACAGTCTACCCTTATCCTTAAAAGGAAGTTGGCAACTTCATGCAACCTACCAGAAGTGTTATTTCCTGATTTGGAGAATGATGCTGGTACCAAGGCCAGCAGCGAAAATTATTTCTGAAAAACTTGACTTCCGATCTAGACATTTTCTTAGGGAGAACGATATAACTTGTTCGGTTCTTTACATATGTGGTTCCACTTTTGCAATAACTTTAAGTTTTATGGATGACCCAAACTATGCAAAAAGTTTTTATGGACCCAGTTTTTTGGGGGAAGTAGAGCTTGGTGTACTTGAACCATTCACAGTCACCTCATTATTCATTCTTCTGCTTATCCCCCTAGGTAGTGGGATAGAGATGAATGTTGTGAAATAGTAAGACTGGAAACAACTATTTTCAACTTTGCTTATGGTAGTTGCTCACTATTCTTTTTGTCTTAACATCTGTATCTTATAATGCTTAGTAAAAAGTTGATGTTTTGCCAGTGTTGCCACATTGGATCAATTTATCCATTATGAACTGTTGTGGTGCAATTGAAGCAATGTGGCAAGCACTTGATGATGATGATGAATTCCTCCAACTGATGTAATCGGTAACATTTTGGAAGTCCACAATAGCTCTTGAAGACTTAAAAAGAATAAAATAGCAAATAATGTTTCAGTCTGGAAAACTAATAGGCTTTGCCCTAAGTGTCCCATTTCTAGGTCCTGGGGAAAGCTATATTCTATTTCCAATGTAAATGGCAATAGAAATAGCAGTATCCTAAATGTTCAGAAATGGGTTGCTGAAACTGGGCAAAGTGTTCCAAATCAAATTTCATCAGTTCTGTGCTTTAATACAGTGGTACCTCAGGTTAAGTACTTAATTCGTTCCGGAGGTCCGTACTTAACCTGAAACTGTTCTTAACCTGAAGCACCACTTTAGTTAATGGGGCCTCCTGCTGCTGCCGTGCCGCCAGAGCATGATTTCTGTTCTCATCCTGAAGCAAAGTTATTAACCTGAAGCACTATTTCTGGGTTAGCGGAGTCTGTAACCTGAAGTGTATGTAACCTGAGGTACCACTGTAGTTCATTAGTCCTACTGAAGTTTATATGTGGATAGCTGAATCACACTGATGGTTTGGTCACTTTGTTAATAAGTAGCATCCTCTTCTCTGTTTATCATTCCCAGCTGATTCCTAAAGCATTGACCCTGTGCTTTTGTTTTGTTGAATTAGCTTCTAAGAAGGAAATGCACATGACTAATGCAGGTAAACAAATCTCAACCAGTAATCAGCAGTAAATGTCAGAGCCAGGTCAGGGCTGAGAGGCTGTATCTGATTCAAGGCCTAGTATGTGCTCTTACTAGGGAAGGGCAGAGTGTTTGACCAGGGCTGACATTATACACCATTCCATTTTGTGCTTGGAGAGCATCTGAGGCCTGCATTCAATCAATCCCAGGTAGTTCTCTAAGCTAGGTCACTGCCCTGGCTCCTGAGATTCCTGATTCAGATCCCAGGATCACTGTCAGTAGGTCTGATCACTGCCTCCAATGTAACAGTGGACACTGTAGGTTATGCATTTAGTGTTAGTGTTAATAAATTGGCCCCCGCAAATTAAAGTAATCAATTGTAATTTTTATTTGGTAGGATTGCAAGCTAAGATTATTCTTGTCTAATTTTTGAAATTATTTTTTAACTGGAATGTTCCTGTAAAACAGGTGTAAGGGACTTGTGGCCCCTCAAATGTTGTTGGACTCAAAGTCACACCAACCCTCACCTTGCCATGCTGCCTAGGGCTGATGGGGATATGAATTCAAAAAATCTGGAGGGCCATAAGTTTCTCATCCTTTAGAAGAATGAAAGTCCATTTTCCTGCTTGGAATGTTAACTTATGCTTTTCAGTATCTTGGAAGACATCTATATTGATCTTTGGTAAAGTGCATATTTAATTGTTGATTAGAAGATGAGTAGTTAACATATCTTAATGTGTTGCCAGTCCTACTGAATTAGTCATCTCTCATGATATGCATGTTGGGTGGGGAGAATACACCTCTATAATTGCCATAATCACAAAGGTGATTTTTTAAAAAAAATGCTAGCCAGTGCATCAAGAACATGGCATTTTCTTCTAAAGGAGCCCAGTATTAATCTTAAAAGTCCTAGTTGGTCCTGGTTTACCAGAAGCAAACCTTGTTGTGTTGAATTTTATTCTCTTCATGTGGAAAACTGCTGTATTGATGTAAGGTGTACGGAATCCTTGAACTTATCTGAGTGTCTAGTGTGGGTGGGGCCAGTTGTCAGAACATGTTTGGGAAGAATGTAAATGGATAGTGCATATATTTCATTATGTGAAATCTACCTCTGGTGAACTATTGCATACATTTGCTGTAGACCTGTTCTCTGCAGACATGGATGCCTTAGGAAATACTTGAAAGAACTGGAGTGCTGCCAGTACCTGCGTTGTATAAAGATCAGCCATCTGGTGATTTAAAGCATGTTTCGCCAGACTGCCATGGCAACCAAGTATTAAACAGTATCTAGCTATTTGAGTTTAGAAAAACACTTCCTCATTGAAAGAAAGTGACTCCTAAAGCCTATTCTGGTGAAGTGCACACACTAACATAACCTTACTAGGGAGATGGATCCCCTGTTTTGGAGACTCACAACATGAACTACAGTAGATTGCATGCTGAATGTTCTTTTCTATTATATTATAACAGGGCACATTTCCTTATGGGCATTTGTCTTCCCTACATGCCCTTAGTTACATTAGTGTTTGGCTCAGCCAGAGTTGCTGTCTTCTTTCTTCACTAGGCTTCCTATTTGACTTAGTGCTGGTTCAGTGGTTCATTGGGCAAACAGGAAATATTAGGAATTCTGATGGGCTGTCACCCATCCTGCAGGTCAACCGTCTTCCTGTCTGGGCTGATTGATGTGGCATTTTGTTTCTCCAAATTTGAAGCTATAGCACAAATTCTGGCCTGAGTGTGCTGGATAACTCTCTGTTTCTGAGCCTAATTCAAGTGCTGGTTTTGACTTTTAAAGCCTTATAAGGCTTGGGACCCTATATGTAAAGGTATGTGTTTCCCTGTATGAACCCGCCCAGTTACCAAGGTCATCATCTAAGTCCCTTCTCTGTGAGCCACCTCTAAGAGAGGTCTGGAGAATGGCAACGAGAGAACAGACTGGTTCTCTAGTTTGGCACCAGGCAAAGTCTTTGGGCAACACCTATGATATGATATTGTATTATTAATTCTGCTTCTAATATATTAAAGCTGTGATTTTATTACTGTGGGTTGTATTCAACCAAATCATTCTACTAGCTGAACCAGCACAACTATGCCCACTAGCATAAGGTTACCAGAGGTCCCTGTTTCCTGGGGACAGTCCCCGGATTTACAAATCAGTCCCCTGACAAAATCCATCAATTTAGTAGGAAGTTGAAAAGTGTCCCCGGATTCATTAAAAAAATCTAATAACCTTATGCTAGCACAATAGGACTTTTTTCTCCCTTCCCCCATGCGACCCTTCACCCTTCCCAAACTCTCCTCGAGAAACGCTTACACTGACAGTATGATCTCCTTATTGCTACATTTAATACAACCTTGCATTTTTCCCTTGGTTCTAAATCACTTTGAGACCTTTGTTGTGGAAAGCAGTATATACAGTTAACCTAACTTTACAAAGACATGAATGCGATACTGGTATAATAATCCTTTCACATCTACAGTTGAGTTTCTTGCCATGATTGTGTGCCTACCTTGTTATTGGTTTGTCTGCTGCCAGAGTTATCTCCATTGCAAGCTGCTTTCATGCACCCCCATTAACATGTTCAGTATATAGAGAACTGCATGCTGTATAATGACTAGATACTTAAACCTCACACTTCAATTTGAATATAAATATTTATTATATTTGATCGATGTATATTCTTTTTAGAAATCTCTGTCTCCATTCCAGAGAAAGCACTATGTTTTATAAAGCTGGAAAAATGAAACAACCATGAACTCAAATGGCACTACATACATTTGTAAACAAGTCTATTAATTAAAAAGCAGTGTGTAATATAATTAGAATCAGCTGAAACAGTTAGACTGAAAATGGTTTTTTATTTAATGCCAGCTAAAAGTCAACGTAGTGTCTTCAATATAAAATTCAAGCATTTTTTGTCTTTGTACGATGTTTTGTTAATCGAACTGTGATGTAGCTTATTTTACAGTAGTGCTGCCCCTAGTATGTTTCAAAAATAATCCCAGAGCCTTTGCTACAGTGCATACAATAGTTAATATAAATACAGTGGTACCTCGGGTTACATACACTTCAGGTTACATACGCTTCAGGTTACAGACTCCGCTAACCCAGAAATAGTACCTCAGGTTAAGAACTTTGCTTCAGGATGAGAACAGAAATCGTGCTCCGGCGGCGCGGCAGCAGCAGGAGGCCCCATTAGCTAAAGTGGTGCTTCAGGTTAAGAACAGTTTCAGGTTAAGTACGGACCTCCGGAACTAATTAAGTACTTAACCCGAGGTACCACTGTATGAGTATTTATGGCTACAGAAATACTTCATTCATCCAACTAGCTTGGAGTACCAAAGTCTTTAGATAAACAGACGATATTCTCTCATAGGCCTACATTTGCTATAAACGCTAGTTAGCAAAGAGTAAACCTGATACCTCTGTGAATAATTGCGGCAAGTGTGTGTGTATGTACATACACAGCTGTAACGTACTAGAATCTCTGCCCTTTAGAGATATCTGTGAAGACATGCAGGAAAAGAAAAGAAAGCTCCCTGAGCCAAACCTTTCCCTTTGCCAAATATGTTAAGTGATAGATGAACAGATTTGTTTACCTTCATGCATTTCTGTTATTTGTAGTTGTAGCACATTCATGAAGCTTCCTTAACTACAAATGCTGAAATTTGGGTCCCCTCCAAACCTGTAGCAAAATTTTGCAATCATTTTCCAGCATAAACAGTTTTCAAGGTGCTGTAGAAGGAATTATTGCAATAACTTTTGCATTGGTTTGGAATAGCCTCAGTTTGATATACAGTATTGCTTTCTGTGCTTTTGGGGGATGAGCTGCAAAACATGGGGTTTGCACTGCAGAACAGAGAATGTTGGGTTTAGGGGTGATACCTATGACCCCCAGTTTGAGTATCAATTGCTCAGTTTTGGGGGTGCTGCAAAATGTGGGGTTTGTGCTGCAAAATGCTGCAAAACAATTGCAAAACTTTGGCACCAGTTTGGAGGGGATTGGGGGGTGTAGTTAATGAAGCTGATTTTTAACTAAGTCATGGCTTAAACAAATAAGATTTGTGTTTTGCCTAGCTTCAAAGTAGTTATTCTATGTTTTCTATCTGTAAGTGTTATGTGTAATAGGTAAAACTTTTATATTCTTGTTGTGCTACCCATTAAATTCTACCTTAAGAGCTCTGCAGGTCATATACTGTAGTTTTCGCCCCATACCGTAGTTTTTATTCCCCCCCCCCAGGTGCGGGGTTGGGGCGGGCGAAGCCCGAGCTTCCCCCAGCCCCCAGAACAGCCTGCTATCCGCAAGCCGCGCAGCTCTCCCATGGCTAGTGGAGCACTGCGCGAAGCTTGGGGCATGCTGAGCTCAGCGCGCCCCAAGCTTCTGGGTGCCGGCAAGCTCTCTGCTAGCCGTGGGAGAGCTGCGTCTCCCACGGCTAGCGGATAGCTTCCTGAAGCCTGGAGAGCGAGAGGGGTCGGTGCACACTGACCCCCCTCGCTCTCCAGGCTTCAGTGAAAGTCTGCATTCGCCCCATAGGACGCACACACATTTCCCCTTCATTTTTGGAGGGGAAAAAGTGCGTCCTATAGGGCGAAAAATACGGTAAATCACTTGTACTGCTGGCAACAGCCAGTTGAATGGTTTAGCTCCCAATGCCAAAGCCACTGGGGAAAAACCCAAATGTAAGCGTGTTTCTGTAGGAATGGCAAATATGCAAGTCTTACTGCAGATTGCGTAATGGAGTAATCTGTATTAAAAGTCTAATAGATTAAATCATGTTTGCCAATATTTTCAGGGTTGTTTTTTTTAATAAACTCACTATGCAGAACAAGAAATGTGTATATGACTGAATTTTAAATACTTCCTTCTTAATCAAAGCAGCCAACCTTAAAGATATGCATCAAAGACAACCCCCAGTCAACTAATTTTTTGACCAAGGAAATAATATTTGGGAAGTATTTCATATTGAAGTTAATAAGGGCGAATTACAGAGGCCAATGCAATGCAATATACAGAGAGCATAGACAGGATTATGTTGGAACTTTTGTTAAGATTGGTTCACAGGTTAGCACTGAAATAAACTTCATACAGACTTCAGATGGGATAGTCCTGTTAACTGAAGCAGTTGTTCATTAGGTTATCTTGTGTTGTCAAAGTTTGCTTTTGAAGTGACTGGAAAAACCAGTTTATCTCTTTTTCTTTCTCATGCAATATTGCAGATTCATTGCTTATTTATTGTGCCTTTCTTGTCAAACCTAAATACTTTTATTTTTTTCCAACAGGCTGGTTTTTGGAATGCTGTATCCTGCGTATTATTCATACAAAGCTGTGAAGACAAAAAACGTGAAGGAATATGTAAGTTTTGTTGCGCTATTTTTGCATTACTGAGTTGCATTTGTGGTGTGAAACAACACAGCTTCATCAAAAGTCATACGGTCTCAAGTTCAGTAGTGGTATGTTTGGTGATGCTGCTGCTTACTTGAATGGGGCTGGGACCAGCATCAAAACTCCCATTGTTCTAGGTGCATTTTGCGACAGGGAATTTCATTTATGCAAGCAGTTTCTAAGCTCAGGGCACAGTACTGCACCTAAGATTTCAGATTAAAACTCCCACTGCTGGAAGGAAAGGACCTTTTTTTGCCTCCCCACTTCCAGCCACTCTCTGAAGAGTGGAGAAGGGACCCTCATAAGAATATTAGAGGGCCGGGCAGGGAGAGTATGGCTTTGTTTTTTGCAGTCTTCAGATGAGGACTAGACCGTGTGAAAAATGAACATAAGGTTTTAGCTGCAGTTCATTCATTTTCAGTTTTGTATTCTTGTTGTAAAAAAAGTGTGCCTGGTGCCCATAACCTAGGTTTAAGCTCCATTTAGCTCCTAGCTTTCATATCTCAGTTTCTAACACTGGCTGGGACATGACAGCAGTGAGACCGAGACTGAGCAGTTGCACCAGAAGTGCTGGATTGATGATGGCAGTCCACCGGGGCAACTGCATGGTCCCAATCTTTCTGCCTTCATATCCCAGCCCCACTGAGGTGATCAGCAGCAACACTGGTGCTGAGTGGATGGTTCCATCCCGTCTCATATACTGCTACTGCACAAGTTTGTGAACAGCAGACAATAATTTATTGTAACACCTTGTGATCCTAATTCATACCTGAGTGCGTCGGTGTAGATGTAGCACTGACTCCCTTCTTCAATTTGGCTGCAGCTGTTCCCTAATTTGATGCACATTTCCTTCTGCCAACCTTAATTGTGGTATAGGGTATACTTTTCCTGTGAAGCCAACCCACCTTAGGAAGGCTGAGAGCCATGCTGCATATTATTACATTGTGCACTGACCTAGAGGGTCGTGTGTCTCTCTCTTTCACTCTCCCATCTGCGGGGAGAGGAAGACTCCGCCTAGCCAAGATTTGGATTTTTGAATAGGTGCCCTATACAGTCAGTGGAAGTAAGACTCAAACTTCTATAGTGCAAACCTATCCATTACATTTCTGTTCAAAAGTAAGGACCGCTGAATTCAGGCTTACTCTTAGAGAAAAATGTGTAGGATTGCAGCCTTAGTTGAACTTAATGAAAGAGATCTTTGTTCACCTACTTAAGCAGAAACTTTTTCATGTCTCCTGCTTATGAAAAAAATAAGATTAGAATCTGTTCTGTTACAACCAGTTAAACTTGAAGTGGAAGGCAGTGAGGTAACTATTTCCAGTGTGTGCCTTGACTGAAATTGGAAGCCTGCAAATATGCAGTTTCTTAAGTTGTATTACGTCCAATTTTATGAGACTGTCTTTATGTAGTCAAATGAGTTGGAATCTGTGATCTTCTGCCTCTAGTGGTGTTTTCTTTTTAGATTCTGTGTTTTTTGGGGGGTGGGCTTGTTTGTATGTCTTTTTCAATGCAGCTGTCTATTCCTCTCCAGGAACAACGCCCCTTCCAGTTTGAGAAATGGGGATCTGAAGCTCTCCTTCAAAACAAGGGAGTCAGAATTGTTATCACCTTGGTTGAATCATGTTGAGAACAAGTTTTCTCCACACAGCCTTCACAAAACATTAAACTTTGACAAATTTAGTTAGAGCAGATTGTATGTCCTTGAAGGTGAGATTACACAGGAACTATTCTGGAGGTGCTCTTTCCATCCCTTGGATGTTGTCTTACAACGGAATAAACACTTTGACAGCCTTATCCAAGATAGCAGAGAGCTGACAAATCTTCTACAATCTAGGAAGATTAAAGGTCATTGATTCTTGTAACCCATACCAAGGGATTTTAAAAGTTTAAAACAACATTTTGTACAAGTTGTATATTCTTGCTTGAAAAATTAATTAAAACGCTTCCCTGCTTTGTATCTGAGACTTTCCCTACAGCTTTACTGTGGTTCAAATTCTCAAAGGGCAAGCACAAACTATTTTTAAAAACAAAGATTTATCACCTGTTAATTACTAGTAGAACTTCAACCAACACAATCTATATACAGATTAGGCAGGAATTTAGGAGACAAGGCAAGCATATGCTTTGGTCTTGTTAGGATGTCTTACTAAGTTTTCATTGTTCACTTAATAATCGTGGATATGCATGAGTGGAGTTCAACCACATCTAACCCCTTTCCTGCTTCTATAGTCTTCTTTACATGGGTAGCAAAAACACCCCAGGATTCAGCACAGACATTATTTTCAGTTACGTCTGAACTGGGAACTACGGCACAATGCTTCCAAACAAGCCAGGAATATAAGCCAGTATTTTATTTGGAAGTACTTCACCATGGCTCCCTGTTTCAACACTGTGTAAATACTGTACATTGTCGTTATTTGAACTAGTATCTGTATATTGGGGATGGCAAAACTTTAGCCATCCAGATGTTGTTTGACTATAGCTCCAGTCACCGCTGGCCATTGGCCATGCTGATTGAAGTTGATTGAAGTTAGTTGCCATCAACATCCGGAGGTTCCCCATCTTGCTGTATATGATTGTATGAGCATGGCTAATGAGATGGGGCCAGCTAAACCTTCCGCATGTGAAACTGAAATATTGCTTTAACTTGCCAGGTGAACTTTAGTTCCTCGAGACTGAATTAGCAAGCCTGTCATCCAGGATGTTGAGTTCGTAATTGCCCCAAGCAGGCACTGCTTGAAATACTGAATTATTAAACGCATTCTCTAAGGAAGCATGTCTCTTTGTTTAAAACAGACTCTCTTCCACAAATCCCCTTTCCACTAGCAGTTTAGTTCAAATAATTATTGGTAATACGTGAACATAATAATGTTAGCTTCTCAAATGTAATTATCAACGCCTGGCATTTAAAGCTTTTTACCCTTAAGTTTTCCCCCCTTAAGTATATATAAAATGGAATAATATAAGTACAGAGAACAGAGACTGAAATTCATGAGACTTTAAGTTTGTGAATTCAGTTGAGTTGGGTAAAGAGTTGGCATTGCTACTTTTCTTGCAAGAGTCACAACCCAACAACATCTGAAATGCCATAAATTATCCTCTCCTGCAGCAGTACATCTAATCTATCATTGCTCTGTGTTGATGATTTACATATAAACATTAATATTTATATATTTTCTTAAATGTACACCTCACCTTTCTTCAGCCATGGAACCTGTGGTTCCTAGGTGGTCATTCATCCAGGTCTCATGCCTTCAGAGGACACCCTAGCACATGCATGTCGACATTTCAGTTTTTAAATTCAGAAATCATGCACTAATAAGCAAGCATGTCTTCCATCAGAATATAAATTCTTGACCCCTGAGAAAAAAATCTTCATGTTTACCTATTTCTAAAAAATCGGATTTGATTCCTTTTAGGAGATAAATCTTTGTTGATATGGTCTTCTTATGGGTAGTATGTTAGTATGCATTAATAAATGATTTTTCATTGCCCCAAATGATCAGAAACATTCTTTTTAGCCCTGCAAAGAGCACTTTACCAATAAATAGTTTTTCTTTTAAAATTGTGCAACCCACAAAATATGGCTCCATGGAATCACTAGGGCAGTGTTCAAAATTCTCATTGTGCTAGGCGCGTTTTGCAACAGGGAATTTCATTAATGCAAGCAGTTTCTGAGCTCTGAGAGCAGTACTGCACCTAAGAATTCAGATTAAAATTGCCACTGCTGGAAGGAAAGGACCTTTTTCTGCCTCACTACTTCCAGCCACTCTCTGAAGACTGGAGAAGGGACCCTCATAAGAATATTAGAGGGGAGGGCAGGGGGGGTATGGCTTTGTTTTTTGCAGTTTTCAGATGAGGACTAGACCATGTGACAAATGAACATAAGGTTTTAGCTGCAGTTCATTCATTTTCAGCTTTGTATTCTTGTTATAAAAAAGTGCACCTAGACACTCGATTGCGGTGCCCATAACCTAGGTTTAAGGTGCCATTTAGCTCCTAGCTTTCATACCTCAGTTTCTAACACTGCACTAGGATGATTAACCCTTAAGTTTTAGAGCTAAGGCATTTCCCCCTGTTTCCTGTGCTATTCTTCCCCATTTCCTCTGCATTAAAGCATTCTGCTCAGTCTATGGAAGTTCACATGAAGGTCAATTTTTTTCAGATGAAGACAGCCCATCAGTGTAGTAACTTCAGCTGGCATGTACACTAATTTAACTCTGTTCACTCGTGCTTAAAATACCCTCTAATTCCTTTGGGAATTAAGCTTAGGATATCATCACATGACTGGTGCTCTGTTCAGTCTGAAATGCTAAGAAACCTGTCTGAACCTGAGGAATTTCAAAAAATAAAGTGAGCAAAGTTTGCTTCAAGGGAAAATACATCTATGAGTTCAATGGTGTAATTTTAAAATTGATTACGTAAGGCTGTTAGCCGTCTAAATAACTTTTAGTTGATTAATAAAATGCATTTAATGCTCAACTGGGTGATTAAGTAAGTTTACGCATCACAAATAAAAACATGTCCTTGCTGATTAACCCCCCCCCCCCGCCCCCGCTAGTTAATGGCTAAAGATATTTCGTTTTTCCCCCATGTATTAAACACCGCTGTGTATAAGACGCCCCCTATTTTGGGGGACTTAAAATTAAGAAAATGGGGGGAGATTGCCTCCGTGTATAAGGCTAACCCCCCTTTTAACATTATTTTTTAGTAAAAAAACCCTAGTCTTATACACGGTAAAGTATGGTGATTAATTGATCTACTATGTAAATTACAACTTGTAGTTTTACAAAAGCTTTTTTTTTTTGTTTAGCTTTGAAAATTGGTTTCTTTCTTTCTTTAAATTCAGTAGTGCTGTGTCTTTCAATTTTTTGTATTTTAGTATGGTGGCATTTTGATATGGTCTGCCTTGTGGAGAACTGGGATTAGAAGTGTCAGGCTAATAAGCTAGAGAAAAATGTTTTGCTCCAAAAAATTGTACTTCATGCATTTGGAAGCAGGATAACTTTGTAGAATATTCTCACAACCTGACTTTGAGAATTGCTTTTTAAACAACTAGAGCATAACTTTTATTATAAATTGAAACCCAGTACTTATTTATATATTTTTTGTTTTAATGGGGAAATGGCATCTGGCTATTTTTGTAGTGGTTTGTATAGCGTAGTTGGCAATAGATCCCTTCTGGTAACCCTCTAAATTACCAAGTATGACATAAATGTGTGTAGGAAATGTAAAAGAGACAGATTAAAATATCCTATGGGAATAAATCCTTGGACTTAATACTGCAGTTCATTTTTCAAGCGGCAAAAATAGTGACTACAGATGGTTTTCTTGCCCATCGCATGCTTTGAGAATCTGTGCTCTCTTTAAAAGCACATTTTAAGGAAGACTCTCCATGACATTTCATCCAGTCTGTGCTTCTGCATTCAGATTCTTTTGTCTGGTCCACTTACTGATCACGTTTGGATGACTATATATTCCACTGAGGTTGAGATTTGAACAAGATACACCCATACACACACCCTTTTCATAAGCTGTGATTTAAATCAGGAAGTCTCTAATCACACTTTCCCCTTTCTTTAGAACAGGGAGACCATGCCTACCAAGTTCAGAACAAGTCAAAATCTTGAAACTGTGGTTCAAAACTGTTTTAAAGAGTCTGCCTTGTTCCAGAATTGGTAAATGGGTGAAATGGGAAACTGGTTAGAGAATGTGGTTCAATCACAGTTCATGCAAAAGGGTTGTATGCACGGGCCACGGACTTATTTGGAGAAGAGCTATAGCTTTATAGGAGAGCATGTTTTGTTTGCAGAAAGTCGTAGGTAGAGCTAGGAAAGACTTGCACCTGAAACTATGGAAAGCTACTGCCAGTCTCTATAGAGTCAGTTGGTCAGTGATGGAACAGTGATTTGGATTGGTGTGTTTCTGTGTCTTATTAAAGCAAGATAATGAACTTCTAAACTGGATTGAAACCCGGTATCATTAAGTGAGTGTAGCATGCCAGCAGAAGTGGATATTTTGCTCATAAAGTATAAACCTACCCACTGGAGCGAGGGATAGCTCTGATTAGCCTCTGTATAGGATGCTGGAAAGGGACATGGGTGGCGCTGTGGGTTAAACCACAGAGCCTAGGATTTGCTGATCAGAAGGTTGGCGGTTCGAATCCCCATAACAGGGTGAGCTCCTGTTGCTTGGTCCGTGCTCCTGCCAACCTAGCAGTTCGAAAGCACGTCAAAGTGCAAGTAAATAAATAGGTACAGCTCCGGCGGGAAGGTAAACAGCATTTCCGTGCGCTGCTCTGGTTCACCAGAAGCAGCTTAGTCATGCTGGCCACATGACCCGGAAGCTGTACGCCGGCTCCCTCAGCCAATAAAGCGAGATGAGCGCTGCAACCCCAGAGTGACTGGACCTAATGGTCAGGGGTCCCTTTACCTTAGGATGCTGGAGGTCTCAAACTGAACACAGGCGATGGGACCCACCTAAACTACTGTAATCTTTGCAGTGATCTGGTAGCTTGCTAAGGGCTGGAACTGTTGGACTGTATAGATTGCCATAGGTTATATTATAGCTATCGGGTCAGCAACAGTCCTGTGATACAAAATGAGTAGGGTTCCATCTGACACTAACACAAAATTATCAGCACTCACACAGAATTAATTTGATATAAAATTTTATTTTGGTGGAGATACCTATCTGTCCATCTATCCTGTACTGTGTACTGCTACTGCCAATACAGTGGTGCCTCGCAAGACGAAATTAATCCGTTCCGCGAGAGTCTTCGTCTAGCGGTTTTTTGGTCTTGCGAAGCAACCCTATTAGCGGCTTAACGGATTAGCGCTATTAGCGGTTTAGCGGCTATTAAAGGCTTTGGGGATTAGCTGCTAAAAGTCTATTAATGGCTTTTAACGGCTTAGCAGATTAGATAAAGGGGGAAAAGCGAAAAAATCTCAAGACTCGCAAGACATTTTCGTCTTGCGAAGCAAGCCCATAGGGGAATTCGTCCTGCGAAGCAACTCCAAAACGGAAAACCCTTTCGTCTAGCGGTTTTTCCGTCTTGCGAGGCATTCGTCTTGCGGGGCACCACTGTACTAGCTTAAATGGACATGTATCAGTTTCTGCAGCTTGCTTAACTGGTGAGAATTATATGTAGAAGATTTTCAGTGGCGCTACTTTTCTGTTTTGTCAGCATTAAAGGCTAGATTATCTTTTTTTGAAGAAAGGGGTGGGGTGGTTTGCAAGCATGAGTCCCCGTTTTAAGGAAGGCGATGGAATGGAGGGTATTTTCTCCTTGTTGTGTGATTTAACTCATGGTAGTGAAACAATAGCTGCTTCTTCCAAATAGGTTGTTTTGTTCATTTTCCGGCAGAAGTTGATCAGGTTATCAGAGCTGCTTTGATTTAAGCTAGAGTAAAAGGGCTGTTTATCAGAAAGGTTCTGACTCTTTCAGCTGCTGTCTGCTACCTATGGTTCCCATCTTTCTAAAACATATGAATACAAGCAGCAAGTAAGCATAGTTTAAATCATTGCAAAATGTGTATCCTGTGTTACTGTCATTGATGTATTGGAAATTAAAATGGTTGTCACATCTTTCCTTTTCAGGTGCGGTGGATGATGTACTGGATTGTGTTTGCTCTTTATACTGTTACTGAAACAATAACGGACCTCATGATATCTTGGTAAGATATGTTTGGGTTCAGAGCATAATGTTACAATTCCAGTTGTGTTTTGACGTATTGTAGTTTATAGTGTCACATACCCTTTATCCGAATTATCCTATGCTAGTTCTGAAAAGGGTAGAGCTATAAAATAGCAATAATATGTAAAACTAGATTAAGGATTATAGATAATTAAAGTAAAGCCAAAAAAAGCTTTTGTTTAAAATGTGTTATTATTCAATATCATCCAGAGCTTTCTGATCTAGAAGGAATGTACCTGTTTCTAAAATAACAGAACCCAATTTTGAATTCTGATTTGTTTTGCAGGTTTCCATTGTACTACGAGCTGAAGATTGCATTTGTTATTTGGTTGCTCTCTCCATATACTAGAGGGGCAAGTTTAATATATAGGAAGTTTCTTCATCCTCTTCTTTCTTCAAGAGAAAGGGTGAGACATTCCTCTCTTTGTGGTTTTAAAATAATTTATTCCATAATATAATATAAATATAATATAAAAACCTATATAATATAAAAAATAATAATGCAAGTGGGGAGGGGAGGGGAGGAGAAACTTGCATTAGTACTTTGTATTTAACACTGAGAATGTTATGTCAAATTATATTAATGTCCACACTGTTTGCCTGTTTTTCCCCTTAGGAGATTGATGAATATATTGTGCAAGCCAAAGAACGCGGTTATGAAACAATGGTTAACTTTGGTAAACAAGGCTTAAATTTAGCTGCTACTGCCGCAGTGACAGCAGCTGTAAAGGTAAATATTACTTAACCGTTCAGTATAAAAATACATTGCATATTAAGTTGGATAACTTTTTTCTAACAGCATGTTCTAAAAGTATGCCCTCTCTTAAACACTAGCTATATTATGATTTTAAAAAAAATAGTGAAGATGACCCTTTCTTTCTCTCTTGTTGCCTTTTCTTGCTGGCAATCACACTCCGTAGGATTTCTGGCTTCTTTCTGCTGTTTTCCTTCAATCAAGTTGAGGTAATTGTTCATGGAAATTAAAGCATGAAGCAGTGCTACAGTACATATGAGTTGGCAAATTAATATGAATCCCCACTGAATTCTCTTTACCTTTTTTAGAATAAAATATTAATTCACTACATGAACTTGAACCATAACTGTTCTTGCTTAGAGTTGTGTGATATTGGAAAACATTAATTTAATTGGGCTGCTGCACTTGGACTCAAAAAGTGCTCCTGACTTTCTGTGACGTGTCTAAGTAATAAGCTTCTTGGCTCTTCCTGTAATTCAGGCATGTAGCTAATGGACACTAATGAAGTCAACATTTGTAACTATAGCAATGTAAAAGGAGAATCTATACACCTCCAATCAAATATGTGCTTAGAATAAATGGTACAAGACAGGTTGAACAAGATGGACATTGCCTACAGTAAATTTCCATGCATTAGTGAAGGGTAGCTTCCTCTTTTCTCCCTGTCTTTCATATTTCTAGGAAATTATAACTGCAACTAGTAGAAGTGTAACCTTCCTAATACTTGTAGCAATGCTTTGTAGACAAGTTTCACCAGCAGTCAGTGGATCAGAAACAAAAAGGTAGTGGAAATGCTTAAAAATATATCTGGCTAACTTTAAAGAGGTATCTTCCGAGCAAAGCCCCTGCCCTTCTGTTTCACTTTCCTCAAGGTGAAGGAGAAAGAACAAGAAATGTGAACATTTAAACAGTCAGATTCACATTAGATATTACAAGAGAAGCAAAAACAAATCAGTAGAGCAGGAAAAACCAGCTTGCAGCAAGGCATGGATATGTCAGAGCAGTCAGGCTGAAATCCTTCCTAAAAAAAGCCAGATGAACCTTGTGCCAGAAGGATCAGTTGTTGAAACCCTAGGGAGAGTATTCTATAAAATTGACACTGCAGCCCCAAAGGCCTTACTCGTAGCAGATACCTGATGAACTTCAGCTGGCAGCAGGACACTGGACATAGCCTTAGATCAAGAGTGGGAAACCTTTGACCCACCTGAGGTTTCTGAACTAAAACTCCCCATCAGACTTAGCAAGTGTAGCCAGTGATCAGGGATGATGGGAGTTGTAGTGCAGCAGTATCTGGAAGGCTACAGGTACCCCATTTCTAGTCTAAAACTTTGCATATGAGTGGAAATGTCTGTACAGCAGTTCAGTGGCCCATGCTTTTGGGTTTGATGTGCTAAGAATAATTGAGATTGGTACCACTCCTCATGGAGTGCTGCCAAGCGAAAAGCTTTCAAACAGCCATAATCTGTGTGTTGTGTTTAGGCAGCAGGATAACGTTTGAACTGGTTGTCAGGTATTCTTGGTAAACAACTACTCAAATTCTGCACACGGCCATTTTATTCAGGAAATAGCTATTGCTTTAATTGACACTAGATGAGATTCTGAGGAGGAATAATTACTAGTTGGCAAGGATATGCAGAATTTGCCATTCTTAGGGGAAATTGCTTGACTCCTTAAGGCCTCAGTTGATCAAATCATGCCTGTCTTTGGCATATGTGCACTCACACTTACATCTGCACCAGGGAAAGAGGATGTGAGCGCATGACTTGCTGTGTCTCTTTTTTTATTTTAAACTATGGCTTAGTGTTATGTCTACCTCATCAGTTCTTTCTGAATTGGCAGTAGCCTGGTCTGATGTGACCACTGTGTTCTTACAAACGCAGAGAAACCACACATCCAGGGTTTCCTAGGGCTGAGACATGAGACCTAACCTTCCTCTTTTGAGTCTTGATCAAGGCAGGATTTTCCTGAACGTTGGAACTCAATTTATTGAAAGAAAACAATAATGTAGGGTCATAATGTTCAGCTTTTGTCCTATTTGGCTTGTTTATGGCTTCCATTTTTGCTGTACCTGCTATTCTCAAGGTTTCATTTCCTCAACTTCAAACGCTGCAAACTGCTGATGGTATGCAGCCAAAGCAGCTTCTCACTTCGCTTTCATACGTAGTATTTTATATTTGGCCATGCTTTATCTATTTACTCTTATCCTGAGAACTAGCTGTTTAATGAAGACCATTATATTTCCAAATACATAATTTATTGTTCTGAGATGATTCCTCTGCTGGTTTATCTACAGAGGATCATAACGGCCATTGGTTACTGCCAATTTGTAGCTTTTTGCTGAAGGACAAAGATTTATATGAGAAGTTCGGACCATTTATACCATGTTTCAGATCTATGTTTAAACAGGTTATTATATATCATGCAACCTCTAAGGATGTTACTACAGTACTAATGTGTTGACAGCTGAAAACAAGAAAATGAATGGCATAAGGCTACTTTGTCAGCCATAACTGCAGCCCTTTGTTAAACCAAATTTCTCCCAAATGTGCTTGAAAGGATCGCTGGTCCTGTTAGTGAATTAATTCACGTGGGCAGAACTGCTTAATATAGCACATAGAAGTTTTACAGCAAGGAAATTAACCATCTGCATGCTTAAAATAAATAAGGAAAAGGTAACTTGTATGAGCTTGCATGCTTAAGTGTAAATTCAGTAATTATATTTTAATAAAATTTGGAACTTTATGGCCAGGTGATTGTACCAGATGGAATGGATATATGAGGCACAGTTGGGTTGGCTGCATTAAAGATCCTATATGACAGGAGGACACAATTAAAGGCAGTATAGGATAGGAAGCTAGTTGGGTCAAAGATGCTGTTCCCTGACAACTGGAGGCCTATAAAAGCTGGAGAGCTGTAAAAATTCTCAGAGTAAGTACATAATTATAAGACTATTTTTAATAGATTAGGGCTCACTCATACAGAAATTGTGATCCAGATGCTAAATAGAATTTCACAAAAATGAGTAATCTGGGGTATTTGAAATGGTCCTGATTTACACTTAAGATGGAGGGAAATGCTTTAAGTTGAGAATGCTGTTTCTAACAGTAACAAGCCAAATACTTCCAGGAAGTCCACAAGCAATTCATGAAAGCAACAGCAACTTGTACATCCTAGCACCTCATGTTTAGTATAATGCCTCTGAACACGGAGGCTCCGTTTAGCTGTGGTAGCCAGTATCCATTGATAGACCAATTTTCCATGATTTTGTTTAATCTCTTTTAAAGTCATCTAAGCTAGTAGCTATAACTGCGTATTATGGCAAGCAATTCCATAAATTGAGTGTTGTGTATGAAGTACTTTCATGTGTTCTGTATCTACAAAGTAGTTACACGACAGGGGACTCTTTGCATAGCCAATACAGTGATACCTCTGGATACGCGCACCTCTGGCTGCGTATCCTTCAGGATGTGAACGCGGCAAACCTAGAAGTATTTTTCCAGGTTTTGCCGCATGCACAGAAGCGGTCCCTTTGGTTGCGGAAACCTCAGGATCCATCCGGAGCTCCAGAACGGATCCCGTCCGCAACCAGAGGTACCACTGTGCTGACTATCTGGGCAAATACATGTGGTATGTAGTGCAAAACACTGAATACTGTGCTTCTGCCGGCTTTCTACTTACATTTTTACTGCTGGTTTTCTGCATTGCCTTACTAGTACACTTTTGTCACTTTGGCTTCTACAACTTGGATGGATCTCATGATAAACCTTGTTAATCACTATAGGGATGAGGCTGTCCGAGCCTCAAGACTTGTGCATTCCCACCACCACCACTTCTTGTGCAGCTGTGTGAGGAGCAAATCAGAAACTTTTGTTCTGATTAACCACAGTTTAGCATTTCCTCTGAACCCTAAACTGTAATTAATCTAAAACTCTGGCTCGATTTAAAACAAGCTGTTTTGTTTCGAACCAACCATGGCTGGGTTTGGGCAGCGCAACAAGTGGCAGTTAATCTAAAATGGAAGTGGAAGTATCCAAAAAACCTTCTTACACCCATGCCGGAGGAAAAAGCAGAGAGAGAAATGCAAGGGCCTCAGACTTGCACAGGCTTGTTCACAGACTATAGAAACTATTGCAGGTGCTACATGCACTTTCATTCTTCAGCCCTGTCTTGCGCATGTGCGCGTGCACACACACCATCCTTTTTTAAAAAAACAACAACAGGTGTCATCTTGACACTTGGAAGCATTGCTAGATAAGAAATCTTATTTGTTGCATTCAAAACTGTCAGCTTGCCCAGAACTTTACATGCCCCTTATAATTATTTAAGGGATAGAGTTTTTCCAGGTGTATTTTTTGCAGCTCCATTTCCGTAGAGGCACTTGTACATGTGCTATACTGCAATAGTAACAGCACGATTAGGAATAAGCTGCAGTGATTTCAATGAGAATTATTCAGTGGAAGATGTATGTAGAATTGCGTTGTCACTCCCTTAATCTACAGCTGGGAGTGTAACAATACAGTTCAGCTCTAATACAAAACTGGGAAACCTCCATTTGTGCAGAACATAACTTTTAGCATACAGTCAAGATCTGACATTATTTTTAAAGAGAGAATGTGATTTTATAAATTGGTTTACTAGTGTAAATTTTGTATTATGCAAGTTTAAGTTTATGTGTAAGCAAGGTGCTTCACAAAAGAACACAATATGCTTGATGGAAATAGAAGCACTGCATGTGATGCCTTGTAATAGTACAATTTGTATTCTGACTGTTACAAATAAATTTTGGAGGGAAATGATCCTTTTCCTATTGAAACATTTCTTTCCCCTCCCCCCCTTAATTTTTCAGGGTCAAGGGGCAATAACTGAAAAGCTGCGGAGTTTCAGTATGCATGACTTAACAGCTATACAAGGTGATGAACCAGTGGGACAAAGACACTACCAAACATTACCTGATACAAAAAAGAGAAGCAGAAGCTCCACCACCAATGAAACTTTAGGTTTGTATATTGCTAAAAGAACTGGGATGTTTCTGTTTTTGCTAGATCGGGTGATAACTGATATTGGATATTGCCCATTAAATTTTGTATAAAGCAAGCACTGGATGAATACAACCATGTTATTTTACTGGAAATTGAGAAAGCCTTGTTCCTGCAGATTTTATCAGGATAGTCCAGCTTTGTCTAGTCCCCAGTATTCACCTTATTTAAAGATAATTTATACCAATGTTTTATAATTTAACAAACTTTCAACTTTGTAATCTCAGGTTACAATATTCCATTAAAACAAGATTCTGAAGATGATAAAACAGATGAGGAGAGGGAAGGGACGTATTCAGAGGATGAGACGTTCACTCAGAGAGGTCTCCGGCGAACACAAAGTATGAAATCGGTAAAAACTATCAAAGGCCGCAAAGAGGCAAGTACATCTCTACTTAGTAATATAAAGTTCTGTGTTCAGATGGTACAAAGAAGTAGAGGTGTATGTCATTTACATATTGGCAACACCTCACTCCAGATCTCCTGATGGACAGCAGTAATGCAGATAAGAATTTATGCTATCTGCGCTCGAGAAGTTGATCTTCCTGTTTATCACATGAAGGTCACTAGAGTACCAAGACAACTTTCATGCTCCACAATGTTGCTGAGGGCACTTGGAAGCCATTTTGTTTACGTCCCTTTGCATCCTGCAGTTCAGAGCCCTGTTAGCCAGAAACCCTCCCAGACCATTCTGCCCCCAGGAGAGTGGGGTAGCTGCTCCAGGCCATGTCTCTGACAATGGGCACATGACATAACACCTAATAAGCTGAATATTTCCAGCTTGCTCTGCAGCAAGAACCAGATCAAGGGAAATGTGTGTTTTATGCAGCTTTTTCCACTGTTGTTACTGACATCTTTTTGTTTTGCTGATTCTTTTTGGTGATTCTAAGGCTGCCTGGAAGAGAGACTCTCTCCCCCCCCCCCGTGTTTTATGCCTTTCTGGGGGAATATTTTGAAACATAGCCTTTCTTTTTTCAAAATAAGGTTTTATTAAAGCTTTTTCATAATACAAACGGCCTTTAAATATTAATTGTTGGCTCGTCATGCTACCATAGTTGAATGATCAAAGTGTTATAATTCAAAAGGTGCATCTGGCAGTCTTCACCTATGAACGTTTTCTCAGTGATGGACTGGTTGCCTTTTAACAGTAGTTAAGCAGCCTTCCCCAGCATGATGCCCATGGGAATTGGAGTCCCAACAAAATCTAGAGGACACCAGCTTGAGGAAGGCTGGGTTAAGCAATGGGGAGTCCCCTGCTCATTCTTTCTACTCCCTTCCCTCTCAGGACTGCATTCCCCCTTCTCTTGTACCATAGGTCAGGGTAAGTTGGAACTGACTGAACATTTGGATTCAACGCCTGCTTAAAGGAATAATGCTGAAATCCCTCTGAATTATGCTGAAGCTGGGAGGGGGAACATGTTTTCCCTAGGAGGGAGGGAGATTGCTGTTCCAGCAGTTGGCTCCAGATCTCTCGAATTGTTGTTTAAGTGACATTCACACAGCATTAATCTGTTCCAGCCTTCAAATATATTTGCTTTTATCTGTTTCTTCTTCATGTCCTGCTTTGCCAGGTTTTCCTGTTCAGTATTTTGTCAAATCATTCATATGCTAAGGGAACTAAAAATGGGAAGGGGGTGCAATAGCTCTTGATGACTGTACTGTATGCATCAACCTTGTTGTGTGTTCTGTAGTGGTCATTTGGGGTAACCAACATAGAACCATCCAGATGTTTTGGCCTACTATCAGCTGGCATGTTCAGAGATGGTGGGAGCTGTAATCAAACCACATGTGAAGGACACCATATTGGCTACCCCTGTGCACAGACTGACAGTTTTTAAAGGCTGCTAATGATCTGAAGCTGTTTTTATTGCACATAATTGGATTAACACTTTCATCCATGTCCTTATGCTTGATTCTATTCCTGACAGAAAATAAACCGCCAGTTTTACAAATTTTGCACCAGATTTTGCCCTGTGTATCTAAATCTTCCATGCCATTTTTTTCTTTCAGGTGCGGTATGGCTCATTAAAATATAAAGTGAAGAGAAGACCACAAGTGTACTTCTAAACGATCTTCACAATTCAGCATGTCAAACTGCTATATTAGTTGCTTCCTGCAAGCCCACAGTAGGGCCTTGTCCTGCATAGGACTTCCCCATTCTCTGAAGGGAAACACTTGGCATACATGTGGATTCCCATTGCCAGTGTAGAGCATTTTCTTGATCATTGAAGAGGAAGGGGAAAGCCCTGCATGCACAGAGCTCTACGTGTATACCTGACTTAACTGGCCACTGTGTTTAGGGATTATCCATATCAATAATTAAGTCATGGTGGTAAGAATATATTGCTTTAAAGAGTGGAGTTATGTTTAATCTCAGTTTCTTAAAACTAATTGCTAATATGTTTAGGTTAGCACATTACGCTTTTGTACTTCATAAGTGAAATAATTTAACGGCTGACTCTTAAAGACTTTTAATTGTGGCTTTTGTGGATGACCATTAAGTGCTTGGTTAATGCCAACACTTACTGAAAATCTCAGCACTTCCAGAATTTCCTTTTTATACTTGGAAAGCTTATACTTGAATGCGTCATTGTGCTAGATTCCTTAAAAATTCTTAAAATGCAATGTAAGAGTATTGAGTGTGAAAGAAAAAGTCATTCACAATCTTCTTAATGGCTTGGATCCAAAGAACAACTTATGGCCGTTCAAGGGGTTTCTGCTACCTAGTGGAATTCACTTTCTTAAAACATGACGAACTGCTTTTGATAATTTCCTCACTGCTATGTGACATGGGGAGACTGCTTTATTCTGCCTGAAGTTGGTTTTAGTTGAAATTCTGTACACTGCATAGATACATTTTTATATGAATTTGCAGTATAGAACTAAAATAACAACAACAACCCCAGAAGGCTCACATAACTTGCTTCATTGTTTGGAGGTTTGTATATTGCTTTACTGTAACCAGGGATTTGAGGGTAGCCTGTGCATACAGCCGAGTTGATCACTCAGAACATTATCTCTTTCCAGAGCAGCCCCCGTGCTAGTCTTTTGCAGCAAAAACAACAGGCATGAGCTTCCATGAACTACAGTTCACAGATACATGAAGTGTTACCCTGAGTTACAGGTAGATGTGCACTGTAGTCCACCGAAGTTTGTGCCACAATAAATGTGTTACACAAGTCCCTTTGTTGTCTGTATCTGGACACTTACATGCTGTGATCTGTAGTATTGCAGTTCCAATTGGTTTTTTCAATGCAATGTTGACCAAGGAACATAGAAAGCTGCAACACAGTCAGACCGTTGGTCTGTCTAGTTTAGTATAGTCTACACTGGCAGCACCTCCTCAGTGTTTCAGACAGGTATTTCTCCAAACAACACCTGGAGACCATCAGGGATTGAACTTAGCACTTTCTGCATGCAACTCTTAGCAAGTTTATCTTCGTGTGGACTTTCTCTTATGGGTTCACTGCTGCATGTGAGAGCACGCAGCTGAGTAATATGGGCCAGGTGCCTTTTCTTTTTGGAATGTATATAAAGGAATTTAACTACAAGACCCAAAATATTTCAAACCTTTTTGTTGGATACCAGCAGTCGTATGATATACTGTGTACTAGACATGTCAAACTCAAGAAACAGGAAAAACTTGCACATTCTAAATTTAGTTGTTCTATTATCTTAGAGTCCTGTGTTTCTAGTGTTTAAGAATCATCTTGCGTATGCTTTTTATTGTGCTTGTGTTTTTTATTCTTTTGTAAAACATTGAAGGTTTTATGTTGGGGCACTGCAGAGAACTGAAGGCCATTTCAGGAACACGAGGGTGGTATGCAACCAAGCAGTTGCAAGATTTTTCATTTCCAGTGACATATTTGCCCTTTCCCTGCATGTCCTCCCCAAATCTGCTGCAGAGGGTTGGTGAAACCCCAGAACAGATTTAGGGGTCTCATAGGAGAAGAAAGGAGAGGGAAGGAAAGTTCAGCTACACAGCCAGATACTGAAATACTTTGTTGGATACGATCCAGAGCAACTGGATAGGTGGGCTTACATATATATACATATCTTATGTAAAACAAGCATAATATGTAGAGCTTGTGTTAACTTGATACACTTCTGTGATGTTCGTTATGCCATTCAAGAGTAGCACTTGAAATGTTCTAAATCTTGATATTCTTAAGTGTTCACTACTTAAGTGCTGGCTCACAAAATACTATTATTTTTTGGCTAGATTCCTGAGGAATGTCTTGTCCTTTTTAGACAGGTGAATCTTCCAAATCTATTAGAATAACCAGGAGTTTTAGTATTGCTTCTGGATGCAAGAACCATGTCAGACCCTCAGCCATTAAATGTTATGTAAGAAATCATGAAAAGAGGTTCACATTTTAAGCCTGATCTTCACAGCTTTGAGTGCTGCACACCTTTTAACCGAACACTTGAAAAAAATTGCTGCTGTTATACCGTATATGTTGGTACTAGGGTTTTAACTTGGTAAAGTGGTTCCAAAGGAAGTGGTTCCAAATATGCATATGCTTCACAATTTTTAACTCATGCCATGTGGAGAAGAATTTACCATTTATTCTGAATACTGACAGCTTGCCCCAAATAAGGAACTAAAGAACTGTTTTCTCTTCAGCTTTGGAAACAGGATTTTAATAAGAAACAATGCTTGCTTTTACATTTTTGTACCCAACTTGCTAAGATGCTGTTCACAAAATTAGATACATGTTTAATTTTGAAAAGGTAAATTACACAGCTGGGGATGGGGCTGATTGGCATGGAGAATCCCCCCCAATTGAAAATCGGGGGGGGGGGGCTACTCCCACACAAAGTTCCCAATTCAGACTGATGTCTCTGTGGCTGCAATTTCTTTTTAAAAAGCCACCTATGTAGCTGCTAATTGTTGAATGGTATCTTCTCTAGTTTGGCCCTCAGAGTAGCTACTAATGTGGTTACACTGGGTGTGGGGAGAAAGGAGTATAGTATCTGAATTGGAGGTGTATTCCCAGCATTATCTTTCAGAAGTCTTTCTGTTGTATAATCCCTCTGTTAACAAAATTTAAATCAGCCTTAGGGGTTTTTTTTTAAGCCTACATACTGGAGGACCGTAGTTCTAAAATAAGCCAGCCTAGTTTTCAACTTGTGTCTTCCACTTTTGCTTTTAAAATAACTTGTGGCTGGTTATGTAGAAGCACACACCATACTGGGTCAGACAAAACAGTTTTGTATCTTCCTACAACTGATCCAACCAGATAATTTCAAAGGAACTGTATAGGAAGTGATTGCGAAATGATACGTTATTTCAGCTATTTTTTTTAATATATCCATGCCTTTTGTCAAACAGACTCATCCTGAAAATTTGTAAGGCTTAAGGACTGCTTTGTATGTTATGTTGTTGGTGTGTACTTGTATCATGAATACTCAAAAGTTACATGTAGTGCTTGCATGTGTATGGTGCAGGTGTGATTGTACTTGTATGGTATGGGTGTGATACAAAGGGAGCTCTTGGTTGGCTGAATCTTCCTGGTTCAAGTATATCGAAAGACTAAAGGCCGCTTTGTGTGCACCCATGGAAACTACAAGTGGCACATTCCTTGGACACTCACTCAGTGAGGTTGTCCTTCAGTGAAATGAATGAAAAGCAATTCCTTTCTCCCATTTTTAAAATCCATTTTTTAGCTTCTTGGATTCAAATAAATTTTTGGATTCAAAGAATGGCAAAATAATTGCTGCAAATTAAATATAATGGTTTTACCACGTCAAAAACAAGGTATTTTGTTGAAAGATGATAGATCAATGTTGAATGAAGTACGTATTATGCAAAAGAAACATTAAACTATTTTCAAGGACTGCTTCTACTTACCAGCTCTTACAAATGCAATTTCAACATATTGACTAATTGCAGCTTTAAGACTGCAAGCTTTAACTTTCCCATCTGTAACAGACTGTCAACTTGTTTACATATTTGTAGTACTGAATTTTGTACTGATACTTCTTTACCTATGTATATGCTATTTTTGAAGATGCAATGGCTCTTGAAAAGATTTTTTTTAAAAAAAACAACTTAATAAAATGAATACTTTCAATGTCTTTGTCCTGTCTCATTCAAATGCCATGCAGCTTGATATCTGTAGGGAAATAAAAACATTATAGGAAGTAATGTAGTGAGCTGCCTCAAATCTAAAATGGTTGGAATCATACCAATTGCAAATTGTCATTCTTCCACATCTCTCTTTAAACCTGCTCTGATCCCATGGATGCTTGCAGGGCCAAGACTCCTTTAGCCAAGCTAAAGCCTTTTGTCTCCTCTCCAGAAAAGATCCCAAAAGTGATCTGATACAAAGCTGAACTATCTCACTTTCAAATGCAGTTGGGGTGGGGGAGTGAATTCCTGGTTGAGCAAGAAATAGCCTGAAACCTTTAGTTGTGCTGAAATAGTTTCATGGTTGTTTTAAATCCTGATCATAATCTCGGACATCTGTCTAAATGTGGTAGGGTCATTTTTAGTAATGGTGGCACATGGTAGCAACGGTTACATTTTATGGAAGAGCAAAATGCACAAGCTACTATTTATTTTGAGCCAGAATATCCTCAGGCATGCCCTCTTGAGTTGCAATGATCATGTCTTGCCAAGCTTGAGAAAATATTCTCACGTTCCTTTCAAAACTAAAATATAAGGATGTGATTTCATTGTTCTTATAAAAACAAATGTTTTTATTTTTCTTCTGAACATATTTTTCACTTCCATGGTTGTTTTTTATTTAAAAAAAGCTTACGCCAGCACTGTTGATAATTTTGGGAAGGAGCTTTTGATTGGAAACACTTGTGTGAGTGAGCTATATGTGACCTTCCAGCGTCTTTTCTCCACTGGGATGGGAAACGTGCAATTTTGCTGAAGACGAAATGTCTTGGAATCAACTAAGTGGGTTGGCTGCTCACTCCACCCCCTGAATTCTTCATGTGCAATGCTTTTAACTTTTGTATTAGATTGTCTGTGCATCTTGTCAGAGACAAGTACATCTTAGGATTCTGTTGATTTGTGTCTTGCCTTACAGTAGAAAGATGTTTGACAGTGGGGAGTTCTAATGTTTTTGCTTTTTTCACTTAAGATGTTTAGGATAATTTATTAAATTATCCTATAATTTATTAAATAACATAGAATGAATTTTTTGCTACACTGGAATTTTGGTGGCAGTGCACAGAGGGAAGTGGATTAGTGGAACTGCTGAGCGGGCAGGATCACTTGGAAAGATGGATGTACAGGCCACCATTTTTATAGTTCTGAACAACATGGATATCTTTTTATGCTGTCTTGTTGGATGTGACCAATTCTCTCATGGGAAAGTTACAGAGCAATAAGAGGAAAAATGGGTAGTTTAAGTGGCATACATTCACCTAGCTGTTGGGTGTTGCCCAGGAAGCAGAACCCAGTGCCCAGTGGCACTGTTAAGACTTGCAATTATGGTTCATATGCACACTTGAAGAATTGCACATGGAAAATATTGATCTGCAAAGAGGGGCAGATCTAATAAGTGTTTGTTCCACTGCTCTCCCACTGTTCTGGTTTCTGATACCCTGTACCATACATGCTGCCTGTTTCTAACAACCTTCCTCACTGAATAAACCATTGGGTATGCTGCCTTAGAGATTAAAAAGGTTTTCATACATTCTATGAAATACGAAGCTGAATGCTGGAAGAATGTACTTCTTCACATAGAGCATAGTCACACTACAGAACTTGCTCCCCTAGGTGGTGGTGATGGCCACCAACTTGGATGGCTTTAAAAGAGGATTAGACAAATTCACGGAGGAGAGGGCTATTGATGGCTACTAGCCACGATGGCTATGCTCTCCCCCCACAGTTAGAGGCAGCAATGCTTCCAGATACCAATTGCTGGAAACCATGGAAGGGGAGAATGCTCTGTTTACTGGTTTCCCAAAGGCATCTGGTTGGCCACTACGAAAACAGGATGCTGGACTAGATGGGCCTGATGCAGCTGGCTAATCTTAGGTTCTTAGGAGAGTTAGTAGGATTGCACTTGGCAGGTACCTTTCAATGCCCCAAACTGTTTGCCCTGCCCCCCCCCAAGCATTTTCTTCACAGTCTGTCAATATACTGCAGGCTTAAAGTGCAAGTCTCTTCTCTGTGGCTTCCCAGCTCTTCGAGATGGCACAATGCAGAAGCCCTTGAATGGGTGCTTTTGTCATTTGTAGTCTTGTAATGTCAAATTGCACAGGATGAATGGGTATTATGGCAATACTGTAATAGCAGCCATGCAGCAGCAGCAGCAGCAGCAATCAGACCCCACAACATAGAGCTCCCCAAAGTCTCATCTCTCAGCAGATGCAGAAAACTCCTTTTGGATTGTCTTAGGCATTAAAATATTCCAATATTTTTCAACACATACATCTCTGCCTTCTATTCTTTGAAGAGTAAAGTAACTTCCCTAGCAGTATTCAAAGTATATTCTAGCCAAGCTGGCAATGAGAGTGAGAGCGCTTCTAGGAAAATGGCCCATTGCATGATCTTGAAGTACTGTCATTCCTGTTGTGATGCCCAATTGGAAATTCAAAGAGAAAGCCCCAGAGTAGTGTTTCTGTTTACTAAACTAAAAACCATCAAGCTACAATTATCAGTGCTATTTGCATGCAAAGAGGAGAAATGCATGTTGTATAATGTTACAACCCTAGTCTCTGAATGGTGAGAGACTCCAAGGGTCCCAAGTGTTTTCCCAGGGTGTGGTTTCCTTAGAAAGAATGTCAGTTAAGGCTGTGGATGTATTTAGGACATATGGTTATATTTACACATATATACAACCTGAGCGTAGGATGGCGGGGCATGATCATAGCATTAACACCCCAACAGATCTTGCTTCGCCTTAGGTTTCCAGGGGAGCCCCAAAGTCCAACACAGAGCAAAACATGGTTCAACCTTCAGCTTTTCAGCTCACAACTCTTGCTACTGTTCTATGTAGCAGCTGGGTGTGGGAAGAGAGGCCTACCCATTAGCTTGGATAGTATCATCACCTAGTTGTAGCTCTTGCAACCTAGTTCATTCTTTTAAATACTGATGAGAGCACTTAACTAACAGTAAAAGCTGTTCTGACAGTGGAGCAGACTCCCTCGGGAGGGGGGTGAACTCTTCTTCCTTGGAGGCCTTTAAGCAGAGGCTGGATGGCCATCTAACATGGATGCTTTAGTTGAGATTCCTGCATTGCACAGGGTTAGGCTAGATGACCCTTAAGAGTCCCTTCCAACTCTATGAATCTCCTCTTAATAGTGGATGCCAAGAGAAATAGTTGTGTCGTTCTCATGCTCTGTATGCGTATTGATGGAAGGGTTGTGTGCATCTTGGAATGTTTTTGGAAGACCCACACAGTGAGACATATGAGAACTTCCAACCACAGTGGTCACTAAAGGACAACAATCCCAAACTCTTGTTTTTTAAAGCTGGGGCTCCCTGATGGAAACAATTCTCAGATCCTGTATTATAACAGCCAAGAAAAACACTGGAAATAGTATACATAAACTTAGTAGTGTCAGTTAAAGTGGAGTCGATTTCTTTACAGAATTAATTTTATGTTGTTTCACTGCACCCTATCTCAAAGGCTTAAGATACAATGTATTTAATATGACACATAAAAATAAACTTTATCTACCTAAAACGGGTGGGCAATCTGTGGCTTTCCAGATGTTCGACCCCAAATCCCATCAACCCCAGTCACCGTGGTTAGTTGCCAAGGTTGATGAGAGTCATTAGTTCCCCATCCACGATCTGAAAGATGGAATGCACACATCCCAACAAGTTCAAAATATTGCAAACAAAAACCTGTCCCTTGCTGCCTCTTTAGCCCCAACCACTAAGGGATGGGGTTTTAACTTGGATCAGGTTGTTTTACAATGATTTTAAACGTTATATGTTAATATGGTTTTTTATCTGTATTTGTGGGCTGGGGTATTGTGTAGGAGTTTTCGTTGGGAATGTTTGTGGGGTTTTTTAGCTTGTATTGTTAACAGTTTCATTTTTTTTAATTACATATTTTGTACTTTATGTTGTGAACCGCCCTAAGACCTATGGATATAAGGTGCTTTATAAAGAAGGAGGAGGAGGAGGAGGGCACAAGTGGCTTTCAGAAGTTGCTGGGCAAGCTAGTTTTCATCATCTGTGGCCATTGGCTATCCACCACACCCCATAGGGCTTTTGCTGCAGTTTGACGTCAGATTATTTGCTTTGTGGCAGTACCTAACCTGCACAAGCAACAAGAGTGAACTGGATGGGCTTTCAAGACTTCTATTTCCAGAAAAGTGCTTGAAGGCCTGCAAGGAGGAATATACACAGTTATAGAAAGTGCAAGGTGTTATAGAACTTGCTTTACACATTGTATATTTAGAGGTACACCCTGTACAAATCTTGAGTGTGGTCCCTATACTACATTTGCTAGACAATTCTATTTATTCAGGTGGTTTTGTGTTGTTTTTTAAATTCACTTTATAAATTGGCAAGCAATTGTGTTGTTTTCTTCTGTATTCTCTTTTTCTTTGCAGGGATTTGTTTTGGTAGCATTGCTTCAGCTGAATATATCATGGATTCATCTAGTTTCATGCCCAAAGCACTGTCATGATCTGCAAGAGAACTGAGTTGCCCTACTAACACTATGCCTTTTTTCTTTTACGTTTAAGTAGAGGATGAAAGTGGAAATACGAGGTTCCCAGAAGGTGCTTGAGGAAAATCAGTTGCGTCAGAAATCTAAATACGGATTGTGTGTCTGGTGTAATGTCTAAGCTTTTAAATCTAGAGTGCACCTCAAGGTGGTTGTCCAAAGAATAAGGGTACTATGGTCAGTTCTGAGAGCTTATGCATGCTTTATTTATGAAGTGCTCTAAAATTTCAAATGTTTATAAACATTGGGTCATATTAAAGAAAATTATGTATGTAGGAATTTGCTGAAAACCCTTTCTATTAATGCCTAAGCACCACCAGCTGGTTTGCTGCTAGCTTAGCCTCTTATCTGGCAAGCCAGATGATACCGAAAGATACTGTTTTCCTACCATATGTGCCTTGAGACATAGGCATGCTAGGCTAAATTAAAAACAGCTTTAGTGCTATCCAGCCATTTCCTGACTTTTGTTAGTATAAGTCAGACATTTGTCACAGTTAGTTATTTGCTTGTGGGTATGTCTACATAAGCTATTCTGTTTGTGGGTTCATCCTGTTCCCCTTCCTCCCTCCTCCCCATCCTATTCAATCCTGCCTATATTAGGTATGAAAAGGTAAGTTTGCATGAAGAGGGGAAAAACAGGTAGCACACAGATGACCCGCTCTGTTCATAAATGATTATAGGCTTATTTTTACATTAAAAGGAATTTCTGGGCTGGGAAAGCTATGTATATTATCTTTGCTTAGTCTAATTAAGTACCAGTGCTACTCAGATGACATCCTTGGCTGCTTCTTTTATAGCAGTTATTCTCTCTCCCATAAGGCATGATCCTGATTCATGATCAGAACTTGTGTGTAAAAATAACAACAAAATCTACAACAGTGCTCCAAAGAGGATTGGGAAGGGATTAAACCATAATCTTCAAAGCACACATACTCCCAACAGAGAAAATATTTAGTCTCCTTATTTTTGTGAACAGCATAATATGAATTCTGAGAGGGCCCATTATTTGCCATTTTGGTCTTAAATCAGTTTTTATGATGCAGAAATGTAAACTCCAAGAATGAGATGTTCCTGGTTTGTTTGTTTGTTTGTATTTTTGTTTAAAAGCTCCAGTAAGTGACTCAGTATAAGAATGCATTAAGAAACCTGTAGCGGAGTTTTGGTAGAGAACCTGCCTGCACACTGCAGGTTGCTTTGCCAGTGGGCATATCCTGTGTACATTCCCCCTTGCCAGTCTCCCCCACTGGTTCCTGCTATACTTGCTCCTTTTCCCCTACATTGCATCAGGGGCCTGTGTGGGGCTGGTGTGATGAATGTCACAACCTTCCAGGTTCTCTCCATATTTATTCACCTGGAACAGAAGTATCTAGGCATGGGTAGGCAAACTAAGACCCAGGGACCAGATCTGGCCCAATTGCCTTCTAAATCCGGCCCACGGACAGTCCGGGAATCAGCGTGTTTTTACATGAGTAGAATGTGTCCTTTTATTTAAAATGCATCTCTGGGTTATTTGTGGGGCATAGGAATTCGTTCATTCCCCCCCATATAGTCCGGCCCCCCACAAGGTCTGAGGGACAGTGGACTGGCCCCCTGCTGAAAAAGTTTGCTGACCCCCTGATCTAGAGGTACTATTTCGGGGTTAGTGGAGGCTGTAACCTGAAGCGTATGTAACCCGAGGTACCACTGTATTGTTTCACTTCAAATTGTGCATGAGAGAGGGGGATGAGGACAACTGCAGTCTGGTGATTGGCCCCCTCTTCCCTACCCAGCAGTTGCTTCCTATGGCTTCTGCAGTGTCTTTTGCATGGGAGTTCATTTGCTCTTAGATGAGTCACCTAATTTTCCAAACTGAAAATTAAACAGCATGTTCCCCAGAGCAGCAAATGCATGTGTACATCCATATGGAGTGATCATATTTCTAATTTTGCATCTATACATGGAAATCGACATATACAAATTTTAGTGTTCTTATGTGATGTATGGGAGTTCCTAGAACTAAGTCTTCTTCTTCTTCTTCTTCTTCTTCTTATTATTATTATTATTATTACTTTAGGATTTCTTCATATTATATGTTAAAGCTATTAGCCAAGTCCTCTTTTGTGTGTGCACTTTACAAATAACACGTCACTTCATTATCAGTGAACTTCGTGGGACCCGTTTCGAATGAACACGCTTTAGGAGGAGGCTGACAAGAGAAATGCATAATTCTGCGCAGGCGCTGTCCCATTAGCACCCTTTTGTCCCAGAAACCCTTGCGCGCTCAGGCCACTCCCCCCTCGCTCCTGCCTACTTTGATCCTTGCGGCTGAATCGGGGAGAAAAGGGGCGGGGCGGGGATGAGAGTGGCGGCGTCCTAGCCCCGCCCCCAAACGCCTCGCCATTGTCCTGTCAGCAACTGCCACTAGAGGTCGCTTAGGAACCGCTTCCCTCTTCCCTCCCTCCCCCACACTTCGGCCACCTCGCCACCTTTGGGCGGCGGCGGCGGCGACCGCCTAGCGCAGAAGCGCTCGAGGCCCTGCGGCGCTCGCTCGCTCTCTCTGACGGGGATGCTTCGGAGAGGCCCGGCGGAGCCATGGACTTGGACGAGGCCTTCGGCTTGGTGGGGGAGTTCGGCCCCAGGCAAAAGCGACTCACCGCCTTCCTGGTGCTGCTGCAGGTGGGGGCGACGCGCGGGGCCCGCCCGGCTCCTCCCCCCCCCGACCAGATGGCAGTTGCCCCCATAATTCCCTCCGCCTCAGCCCCTTTTGTCACGGGGTGTGTGGCGCGTGGCGCGCGTTGCCAAGGCAACAGCCAGGGCGCTACGTGGACCTGGGCGCGGGGCAGGCAGGAAGCGGCTGCGCTGCCTCGTGGAGGTTGGTGGCGCCTCCCGAGGGAGGATGCTGAGTTGGGGGGGGGGTTGAGGGGAGCGACGTCGCTTGTTCCTGCAACGCAGCTGCTGGTGAGAAGGATGCTGCTTCCTTTGGAAGCACCTGACCAGCGAGACTCGCCCTCCGGGGCGCTGGGTATGTGGAGAGGGGAGAGACCTCCCCCTGTGGAATAGTTCATAGAATTGTAGAGGGGACCATGAGGGTCATCTAGTCCAACCTCCTGCCCAACGTGGGGCTCCGACCCACAACCCTGAGGTTCAGATTCTCATGCTCTGCACGTGCTGCGGAGAGGCTTGTCAGCCTGAGAAAGTAACCCGTTTGGAGAAGGAAAACATTGGTCCCAAACCTCCGCAGCCATGAGGGATATCTTGGGGAGAAGAAAAGTCTGATGACCTATCCCCCCCCCCCACTAATTGACCAACTCACTCGCCACCCCCCAGAAAACTGCTGCTTAAGATTTTGAAGTCACTTATTGTTTTTATCTTGCTTTTTTATGTTGTGAACGTCCCTGAAATCTGTGAATGAAGGGTGGTATACAGATTTAAAAATAAATAAAATCTTTGAACACCATTACAACTTGGGAATGATACACTAGAAATGCACTAGTAATATTAATAACATGATTATTACCCTGGCACAAATGTTATGTTCTGGTTCTGATTAGTGGATGTATGCTGGGCTACTCTAGATACAGTAAGCCCACAATTTACATTCATTTAACTTGTGTGCATTCAGCTTCAGGCATGTGGCAAAAAAATTAAAAGGGGCAGAGGGAGATGAGGTTCCAGGAAAATGACTTTGGCAATCCCATCCACCATTGAACCCAATGGGTTTTAACTACGTAATTTAGGAAAGAGTGTAAGTTGTGGACTTGCTGTATGATTGCTTTGAGTTCCACTGTTGTTAAAGGCCACAAAAATAATATGTGGAAAAGGAGATGTGATTTAAACACTGATTAACGAGCTGTTGAATATGATAATGGAAAATTCACATCATTGAATATAATAAAAAGTATATTACTAAGGAAGATTTTCAAGACCCCCAAATCCCACCCCTTCCTTAAGAATAGATAGAACAGGAGATTTTACCATACCCTACTGGTTTTAAATTGCCAGGCATTTCAAACTGTGTGATCTTGGGCATATGCTAAGTCCAGTGGGACAAACTCCATGTGCATGGGGCTGTAGAGTCACTCAGTGGCAAATAATTAGTCTTCTCTTTTTTGTTGTTGGAATGCCTTTGTATGAACATTTGGAAGATGCTAATTGTTTTGATGGCCAGTGTGTTTGTGAAGTAGAAGATAATTGCATACTGCCTGTGTGGTCAGCTACACAATAGAACCCATTGCAGGATTCTTGTCAGTGAGAGAAAGTCCAGCAAGCATCAGATCTTGCCTTTACAGAAACAGTGGTCTCAAGTACAGTGCTTTACTTGGTTCCATAAAAATGAAATAGCAACCAATCATATGTATGGCAGGCAGTAAAAAGGCCTAGATGCAATAGGTGTAGGAGCTAAATTCATTTTTTCCTGTCTGTACAACTCTATACTGGGTTCTGTTTCTTGGTCACACCAGAGCATGACAGTGTTGGGACCTGGCATGTGTATTTATTTATTTATCTCACTGATCGCTCTAAATAAACTCTCCTTGTTTTGCTTTTAAGGTGTTTGTGGCCTTTCAATCTATGCTTATTGTGCTAGTGGGAGCAGTGCCGGAATATCATCTCGACCTGGAGGAGAGTCAAACTAGTAGGGAGGCTCTTGCAAAACATGTCAGGTTTACCAGCAACTTCACATCCATAGCAACAGAGGCAAGTATATTTTGCTGCTGTTTCTTAGCATTCTTTTCTGTTTTTTAGGTTTCTTATTTTGCCCATATGGCTTCAATATAGGATGCTGCCTCTTAAAACCTTGGAAGAAAAGAACAGGTTAGGCTTGTGTGTATGTTGCAATTTTTTTTAAATGAGAACATGGAATTTACTGCTAAAGAAAAAGTCACTTGAACTAGTACAGTGGTGCCTCGCAAGACGAAACTAATTCATTCTGCGAGTTTTTTCGTCTTGCGAATTTTTCGTCTTGCGAAGCACGGTTTCCCAAAGTCTTCAAAATCACCAAAGTCTTCAAAAACCTCAAAAAAGGCTACCACACCACGTGCTATGAGTTGCTCCTCGAAGTCACCCTGGGTATTAACAGTTTTAAGAAAAAGGAAACAAACTTGCAAGACGTTTTCGTTTTTCATCTTGCGAAGCAAGCCCATAGGGAAATTCGTCTTGCGAAGCAGCTCAAAAAACGAAAAACTCTTTCGTCTTGCGAGTTTTTTGTCTTGCGAGGCATTCGTCTTGCGAGGTACCACTGTACTCTAATCTTTAGTGTTTCACAGATCTAACATTTCTCCTTATGCCGTTCAACGTGTAAGTACTACTCCCTGAGTAAAAATAATTTGTTAATTCTAATTCTTCAAGGCTTAGAATTTACTACAGTATGATCTGAATCCTTTTATAATGAAAGTGTCATAGTGTAACACCACATATTTACGTTTATATATTTTAAAAGTCTCACAAACCTAATTAGTCTGTTTAATGTACAGTCAAATACTGCTGTGGGCATTTTGAGCATCTTTTGCTGTTGGATCTCTTCTCTTTTGTTGTTTGTATTTTTTAGGATCCTAAGAATTTTGCATCTTCTTTCATGTGTTCCAGGGTACTTTGAGTTTATAGTACTTAAACAGCAGTGCTCCTGCTCCTGCCACTGGCAACCTTGCTTATGGAACAGATGAGTTTCAGAAGTAGTTTGTAATATGTCTGGCCACAGTTATCCATGTCTAGGTGACTTCTCAGTTTGACTACTGCAATGCACTTTACATGGGGCTGTTGTGGAAGACTGCAGCTAATGAAGAACACTATGGCTAGACTTCCAACTGGGACCAGGTGAAGAGATCACATTTCAGCTGTACTAAAACAACACTGTTGCTCAGTAAGTTTCTGAGCCCAGTTCAAAGTCCTAGTCTTATTCCTGAAAACCTCAGCATATTGGAACCTGAATACCTATTGCATTACTTCCTCCAGTTGCTGCCATTATGGGCAGCAGGTAGTAGTCAGGATGAGAGAATCTTTCAGTGTGGTCTCATCACCTTTGGAATGCTCTCTCCAGGTACCCAGGCACCCTCAAAAGTATTATTTCAGCATCAGGCAAAAAAACCACACATTTATGTTGAGAACCACTGTAGTTTAAACATAGAGCAGTTTTAACCTTACTGTCAATTTAAAAAGCAGTAAAGTTAAAGCAGTAAAATGGAGGCAATTTTTGTTCATATGCATTGTTCTGTTTTCTTTTTAAGAAGGCTCCGTTCACTGGAAGGGAAGGTTGCTTCTAGCTGGATGTCTCTGGGAAGAGCATTTCATAAAGTGGATATCACTGTAGAAAAATCTGTGTTCCACATTGCTTTTAAATTGTGCCTCCGCAAAGGAAGATCCACAGAGGAAGGCACCAGCTCTCAGAGAATGTGGCCCCACACGCAGTGCTCTTGATGGCACCTGTTATTTCGTTTTTGTTTGTTTTAAGGTTCAAGAGATACAGGATGGTGATACCTACGTTGCATTAATCACAGTTGACTTCAAATATCATCTAGAACATTTAATAATAGGTTCGTGCCCCACAGGTACATGTTTCCTACTAAAGAGGGAAACATTTTTTTAAAAAGCAAAAAAGATTTTATATCTGTGCTTGTTTCATTTTTGCTGAATAAAAATTAGACTTTTGAACCACTCCTGCTGCCCATTAAAAGAAGGTTAGTAGTAATCACTTGATTTTACAAAAGAACAAGAAGGGGGGAAGGGGCTTTTGTTAGAATCATCATGTTGATAACATAGAAAGTTAAACAAAAGTTGGAACATGCATACTGCTTCTCCCTTAGGAACAATCTGGTCTGTTTGCCCAGCAGGAAATTAGTAGATTGGTTAATAAGTGGAGTCTGTATTCAGCCTTCTTGGAAGTCTGCAAGCTGTTTCTACAACATGCAATTCTTTTAGCTCTGGTTCTATTACCAGCATTACCAATGTGCTTCACCACTGATAATTATCACTGTTTTTAGGGTAAATGCAATAAGGATTATTACAAAAACCCCTGGGAGCCGCTGCCAGGCAGTGTAGTAGGCAATTCAGAGCTACTTGGACTAAAAGTCTGACTTGGTATAAGGCAGCCTCCTATGTCTGTGCTCTTTTTGTGTCTCAGGGTGTGGTCTGAAGGCACATAAGTCTACCACCTTGCTGAAGCTAAGCAGGTCTAGGTCTGGTCAGTGCCTGGATGGGTGACCACCTCGGGACCACATGTTCGCTGCCTTGAGTTCCGTGGCAGAAGAGAGGCAGGAAATAAATGTAAGGAAATAAAATTAATAAAGCAGTGATGAAAAGCTATGGCTATAGAGGTTGCATTTTTATCACCTCAGAATTGTATGTGAGAAAGTGATACTGTCAGATAGTTTCTCTGGCCCTGGCTTAGTGCTCTCTAGTGCACCTTTAGATTATTTTTAGACTTATTATTTCTCTTGCTACTTGTTAGCAGTGCTTCCCTGCCTCTATGTGCATCTCTTTCAAACATTGTTCGAGGCAGCATTTACATATTTGAAAGGGCTTATATAAAGCATGGGATTGGGTGTGTGCAAAGCATTTGCTCATCCAGAGTTCCATGTGCCTAGCCTGATTTCAATGTTTAAGAATCATTTAAATTATTTTCTAGCCCTTATCCATGTGGCACTTGCATGCTACTGATTTGTGTCCATCAAGGAAGATGTACACATATGTACTAGCTGTTTACATAAAGGGTGGTGCTCAGGTTATGAACCCTTTAAACATGGAACTAGGCTGCTTGAAACCCTTTGAAAGTGACTGCTCTTATGGGAACCAGCATTTTGTTTAAATTTGGGCCCATCATTGAAAGAGATGTCACACAATTAGTATCTTCCAAGTAGCCTCATGTTGGTGTTCTTAGTATTTAAATTGATTTGTAAGCACATGCAAACATGGATACATTTTCTGCTTTCCTTTTTACTACAGTACACTCAAGTGTTTGTGCTCTCTAGCCTTAAACAGTAGCCAGCGTAGTGCCTTCCAGATGTTGTTGGACTCTAGTTTCCATCAGCCCCAGCCAGCATGACCAATGGCCAGGGATGATGGGAGTTGCAGTCTAACAACATCTAGATGGAACCACACTAGCTACATTACATTGCATTCTGGAGAATTGAAATGGTGGGAGCAAGAAGTTGCTCAGTGATTTATAACATAATAAAATTCCTGCTTTTGCAGATGTATGCATGGAAGTGCTTATGATTATTTTGAGCGGTGTACCTCTGTGTTCTGGTTAAAATCACCCCTGGAATAATCATATAATAATCTGCACATAAATCCTGATAGTTAAACGTCCATTCTTCATAAACTAGATGTTCTTGGTCATGTCAAAACTTCTGTTAGATCTTAGCCAGATGGCTTAGTTGGTAGAGCATGAGACTCTTAATTTCAGGGTCATGAGTTCAAGCCCCACGTTGGGCAAAGGTTTCCTGCATTGCAGGGGGTTGGACTGGATGACCCTCGTGGTCCCTTCCAATTCTATGATTCAAGAATTTGCCAAAGGCTTAAAGGTATGATGGGCTCACAAAGCGTATTAAAATTATATTGGTGTATGTTTTTCTCATTTCAAAACTATTATAAAAATAGGCTTGATAAATGTAATATTATGTCAGTTTTTGACAACTGGCTCTTGTATTGCTTTGATAAATGTTTAAATGCTTTAGTGTTTGGGTGTGTGTCACTCTAAGATCTGTATTTGAATTTTGTGCATTTATAAACTGAGTGAGAGCCAAACATGTAGGTAAGAACTACAGATGTAATAAGAAAAAAAAATGAGTTACAGAAACCAAACTTTTAAGAAATGTCAATGTAAATTAATAAAATGCTGGACGTGTTCTTAGCATCACTCTTAATTTCAATATTTTATCCAACTGCATTTTCATTTCTTATAACGGTGGTTCCTGTAGCTCATCTCACCTTCCCGCTTGGATTAACACCCAATTGTATGGTGTTGTTTGTTTTTGTACTTGTACTGATCACTAACCTACATATCAAGGACTTCATCAGAAGCTCTAAATCTGTAGCTTCCTAGAATTTCATTGAAATATGAGGGCCAGCTGTTTAAACAAGGAGCCGTTATGAATTCAGCTCGATATTTTGCTAGTTACCATAGTAACCAATGTCAGATTGCAGTTCTTTCCTACACAAAACTCCAAATGTATTCCAGACCAGGGAGCTCTTCTATGTCCCTAATGGTTTGAGATGGATATGCTTCTGTGCTCTCTTCTTGAGATGACTTCTGAACTTGGAGGTTGTAGAAGGCATTTTACTGTTCCCATTGTGCAATTTTACCATAGTCCTTTTTCATTCACAGCCAGGCAGTTTTGCATGCCATGTAGGTATTAAGTAGCCTCTTGTAGAAAATCAACATATAATAGGAAATGCATTGTAAACTGATGCTTGGGAAGTATAGTGCACCAACAATTTACCTTTAAACTTCAAATCTGATGTGGGAAGGTAGAATAAATTTATGTTCCATGAGCCAGAATATGGGTCTTGTCTGTTTCCTGTAAAGTGGGAGAAAATTTTAAAGTGCAGTTTAGGTTGGCAGGAGGGATCCCTGCCTCTTTCATTTGGTAGATGTTACTTTAGCCTGACTGGGAGTTTAATGAATCGGGAGCAGCAGTTTCAGGTGTATGTATGCAAGCAAGCAAGCAAGCAAGCAGAGAAAGAATTCAGCAGTCACTTCCCAACCAATCTCCTGGCTACATTGGAAATGGCAGCACCTTGTTTCTGACTAATGGGCCTGTTGCCATCACACTAGTTTCTGACCTGGGCTGTTGAGATTAGATAACTTATCACTGGTTTGTTACTATGTTTTAACTGAAAAGAGTCCCTTTTTGTTTTAAACAGTGGTATTTAATCAGAAATGAAGCATATAAGGTGAACCTGGCAGCATCCTTGTACTTTGCTGGGTTGCTTATTGGAAATATATTGTTTGGTCAACTATCAGATAAACTGGGCAGGAAGCCTGTGTATCTAACAGGTAAGATGATATGGAAAACTGTGTATCTGGCACAGTCTTTTGGTTGTTTCAAATTTGCGAGTTATTATCAACTAGGGTTTTTTTTTAGATTTAAGTGATTCATACTGATGGTGTGTGAGTGCCTTATTTGTGTGTGTATACATTTATACACACACATTATATTTCAGGATTGTTTCAGAATCAGTAAACAAAATTATGAAGTTACAAAATAAAATTACGCTGTTATACCAGATACACTTAACTAGGGAGAAATCCCCATTGGATGCTATGGGGCTTAACCTCTAAGCCAGCAGTCGCCAGCCTTTTTGGGTCTGGAGCACACTTAGAATTTCCAGAAGCTGCCAAGGGCACCACTCACAAAATGACTGCCAGCTCCAAAAGAATAGAAATAAAAATGAGATGGAAACATAAAACATCAGCTGAGCAGCTCAAGAAAGCCCTGCTGCTGCTCCAGCTCATGTGAGATTGAGGGGATGTGGGACTTACTCAGCTGATGTGCGGGGATGTTTCCACATGCATCAGCTGAGCAGCCTCAAGCCTCAGTAGCTGCTGCTTTCCGGTACATCAGCTGTTAACCAGGAGGTTGAAGAGCCTCAGCAAAGTTCTGCTGTGCCTCCAGCTTGTGAGGAGACCCTCCCAACAACAACTATGGAACAGTTCTTGCTGTAGAGCATTCAGAAGAAGCAAAGAAAGAAAAATAAAGGGTTGTCATATCCTGCCTCCCAATATTCAGCTGAGGCCCCTCTCCTGTAGCTGCCTGATCCATGGGACCAACAGGCAGCAAAACAAGTGACAGGTGATTTCCACACTTCCTCTACTTCAGCACACATATGAAAGCCTCTGAAGTAGCTGCCTGTTGAATGCTTCACATAGCTGTGAGGCAGCAAAACAAACAAATAGAAAAATAGACCAGCAAGTGTGTGGATCTAAGGACTAGAAAATAAGAAGCAGGCAAAGTGCATTAAAGGGAAAGAGTAGCTCTGTGGGACACATGGGATTCCTGCTGCCTGGTATCCAAACAACTCACTCATCCATCACAACTCTGATTTCACAGGAAGGAGCAGCCAGGCTTCATAATTTTCTTTCAGGGGGAATGAGGGCTAGAAACTTCTCCTTTTTTTAATGAATGCTCAGTCAGGTGCCAGGTTGGCAACCCTCTGCTCCAAGTAAACATGCACAGAATTGCAGTGTTGTCATGTAGAAGGAGCATTCACAGATTTCCATTTGGACACCTTTGACGTTTTAGATATTGCTAACACATTTGCAAGTAACTGATACATTTGTGTCCATACTAAAATAACTTAGTAGGAAGACTTTGGGGTTAAGTGGTAGCTACATCCTCTTATAAATATAGCATATTTGGTTATTTCTAAACAATAAATCTTAATTTGGGGTACTGTCAACTTATGTGTGTATGCATAATTTGTCTCTTGATGTTTTAAGATACTAGAAGTACAGTATGATCTATTTCAGTGGAGCTAAGTTTTCACCTAAGGTGGGGTGGGGGGACTTGTTAATTCTCCTTTCAGCTTATTTTTTCTTCATTGAAAACTGCAATCCTATACATACTCAATGGGACTTACTTCTTAGTAGACATATGTAGGATTGCACCACAAAACTAATATTTTTTTTACCCATTATATGTTTTGTGCAGGTCTTTTCTTAGATGTCATTTTTGGGTATGTTTCAGCATTTGCTCCAAACTATGACATTTTTGCAATGTCACGCTTTTTCGTTGGAATTACAAATGGTGGTATGTCTCTAGTGTCTTTTGTTTTGACACAAGAATATGTAGGAAAATCCTTTTGGGCACTGACAGGTAAGAGATGAGAATTTGATTCAGTCTGCTAAAAAAAAAATTCAGTTCCTAAAATTCTGGCAAATTTTTTTTTTGTATTTAGTAGGTCTTTATTTCTGATAGGAATTTGATTCCATGATTCTGTAGAACCAGTTACTAAAAACTGTAAAATTTTAAGACTTTGTGTTTGGGGCTTTCTGCCAGTTGTGTCCTACTCAGAGTAAACCCATTGGAAATAATGGCTATGACTAGCTTAGATTCATTAATTTCAATGCATCTATTTAGGTGGATACAACACTGAATTTGTTCAGTCAACTAATTGTTTTTTATGACAGACATTTTTTCTTTACAACAGATATTTTGCTTCTTTGCTTTTAATACTCCTATTTCTATTGTTCAAAAACTTAAACACTGGCAGAAGCACATTCCCATTCACCCCCCCCCAACATAAATTTCTGCTGTGGGTTTCTTTTTCTTTTCTCTCCCTCCACCCACTCTTCCTTCTTCAGGTAATGATTCTCAGTGTTTGAATGATACTTTCCTGCCCCTTAAACCACACATGACGTTAAATTTGTGTCTTGGGGGAGACTGAGCAACTCTTAATTCCTCACACCTCCATTTTGGTTTTCAGCAGGAACCTTAGAGCAGTCAGGGAAGCCTTTATGACCTTTTCATTTTCTTTCTTGAATGTTGTCCTGCCTGTGACAGTTAGGCACTGCATAGAATTATTTTAAAATGCTATCCTTGGGCAGGATCATAATCCAAACACTCTTGTTTAGCACCACTGAACTAGCCGTATGTCAGAAGGCTAGCTTATCACTGAGGACAAGTGATAACTTGTACTTTGCAAAGAATGGGCTTTCATAGATCCAGCACAGCAGCTAGACTTCAGTGCTTTTCTCTGTGTATTTCTCTTTCCAGTGGAATTTGCCCAAACCCTCTAGCCCCTATAGGCTTGCTGTCCTTGTCCCATTACCATCATATGGAGGGAACAGCATTCACCTGCTGTTACATCCTCATTTCCACCCGGCATCAACTTCAGCAGGAGTCTGAAGACGGGAGCCTGCTCTACATGTTTAGGCCTCCCCGTGTCATTATAAACCCTTCAGGATCAGAATTCTGAATGGTGCAGCAAGCCTACATGTGTAGAGAACGCTTCCCATTTCAGACCTCCCTGCCGTTGTTCATTGCCTTTCACAACAGTGTTGATGATGTGTGTGTTGTCATGACAGCAGCATCTGAGACTCTGTAAGCTACAGGTTTTGAACTGCAGTTGTGAACTGATCTTATTGGTAACTAGTGCAATTAATAATACATAAAATAGATTGCCAAGCTTTTTGTTAATCCACAGTTCCCTTGACAGATCGTTTAGGAAATTCTGAAAGTCCAAGTAGCATATAGATTAAGGTTGCAGTCATAGTAATGTGGCGACTTGCTGCACAATCTTAAGCATGTTTACTTGGAACAAGGTTCCACTGTCTTTAGAGGTGTTTAACATAAGATTGCAGTCTTCGAGTAAAGTGTATTGAAATTGGTGGGATTCTCCCCCCCAAATAAATAAATAAATAGTTCAGTTTGAAATGTTAATACTTTTGAAAATGGCTTTCGGCCCATTGCCTACATAATTTATGTAGTTCCCATCTCTATTCTGGATTATATTTTAGATTATGCTGAGATACATCAGTTACAACATTTTCTTGCCAGTGTGGTGTAGTGGTTAAGAGCAATGGACTCGTAATCTGGTGAACCGGGTTCGCTTCCCCGCTCCTCCTCATGCAGCTGCTGGGTGGCCTTGGGCTAGTCACACTTTTCTGAAGTCTCTCAGCCTCACTCACCTCACAGAGTGTTTGTTGTAGGGAAGGAAGGGAAAGGAGATTGTTAGCTGCTTTGAGACTCCTTAGGGTAGTGATAAAGCGGGATATCAAATCCAAACTCTTCTCTTCTTCATCTTTTTTTCAGTTCATATCTGCTGTTTGTTTTTCATTTTACTCACTTTAGATCCTTGAATTTTAAAAAGTATTCTTAAACAATTGGGATCTAATTTCTTAAAATAAGTTTGCTGTGGCTTGCTAGCTTGCCTAAGATTCACGAAGGTTAGAGTATGTAGTTAAGATAGTTTTATTGTACTTGATTCAAATACTAAATTTTATTTCCTAAATGAGTTGGTTTCCAATTGGCAAAGTCCACAAAGGTGTTTCAGGCTCAAACATGCATAAAGTAGGTAAACAGTGTTGGACTTCTCATGAGTAAGGGTTTATGAATTATGGTCTTATTATACAGTCATGTAGAAAAATTCTGCTCCTTTTCCCTTATGGGGCATCCAAGAGCCCACACAGAGTCCTTAAGTGGGTTCTCTATTGGTAGGAGAAAATAACAGAGGCCAACCAGAGAATATTGAGAAGCAAAGCAGCTAGTATCTTTATTAAACTGTTGCAACAGGGTGCTCACTCACCACATGCAGGAGGGAGGAGGAAACCAGAACAATGGTGTGCAAGCCCTTATGTAGACTTTTGAAATTTCCCCCCCTGTAGCTCAGGACCACCCCAAAAAACATCATACATCTGCCAGGATACCTAACAATGGCCAGCGATTGCTTACTTGGGCAGCCGGACCATTCTTTTATGATGGTAAATACTTTAATTCCTGAACTAATAGGCTCACCCTATTAATACACAAAGATGCCCTAAAGACAGGTAAGCAGAAGACAATGGAGAGGCTTTCCCATTTCCTTCCTCCTTGCAGAGAAACATTTGAGATCAATTTGGGAGAGTCAAAATGGTTTCAGGATTGCTCTCCTGTACTATTTCAGACATGTGGTTTATATACTTATGTATGTGTTCGCCTTGTGAATTTATGAACATTTAATTCATATATAAAGGTAAAGGTACCCCTGCCTGTACGGGCCAGTCATGTCCGACTCTAGGGTTGTGCGCTCATCTCACTTAAGAGGCCGGGAGCCAGCGCTGTCCGCAGACACTTCCGGGTCATGTGGCCAGCGTGACGAAGCTGCTCTGGCGAGCCTGCACCAGCGCAGCACACGGAAGCGCCGTTTACCTTCCTGCTATAAAGCGGTCCCTATTTATCTACTTGCACTTAGGGGTGCTTTCGAACTGCTAGGTGGGCAGGAGCTGGGACCGAAAGACGGGAGCTCACCCCACCGCGGGGATTCGAACCGCCGACCATACGATCGGCAAGTCCTAGGCACTGAGGTTTTACCCACAGCGCCACCCGCGTCCCTATAATTTATATATATGAGACCTTAAAATCTTACAACAACAGGGTGGCCCAAAAGGAGGTATACTGCTTTAGAATCCACTTTCTTTGTTCTTGACTCAAATTCACTGTTATCATTCACAATCATCCTTTTATCTGACTCCACTATTCTTTCCAACTGCCAGCCTGAAATTTAACTGCCACTTTGTTGTATGTCAGTTATGTGTACCCATAAAATCTTTTGTGATGAATTTCATTGATTCAACTGTATACCTACTTTTGGGTCACCCTGTATGTATACTTTATGTGTGGAGAGACTTACAGCCATAGTTAATGAAACCTCTTGCTTTTTTTCTATTTTCAGGCTCATTAACAAATTTGACATTTGCGGTTGGCATAGCAATTTATGCATTATTGGGTTATTACATAAGAGAGTGGCGTTTCCTTGCTTTCGTATCCAATTCTCCAGGACTTTTCTTTCTCCTTCTCTCTTTGTAAGTAATGTTTTGTGTATGTTATGTAACTTGCAAACCAGAAATAAAGTACTATTACTGGAGAGCAGACTAGTAAAGGTAGAATTTTGAAATGACTTGTGTTCTAAGTAAAATAAGTTAGAGGAACTTGGGGGATTTCTGTTTTGCTGTCGATAATCAAATGCTTACATATTGCTTATGGAAGAATATAATCAGAAGAAAAATCCAGTTGGTTGTGATTCTCACAAACACCCCTTTGTATGCATGGAAGTCAAGGTTGGCAGTTTTTGCACATGCAGTATAGCTTTATTAGAATTAAATGATTGAACAGTTTTTGTACTTTTACAGATTCATGAAAATAATTTATATCTATGGAATATGACCATAATGGGTGGATATATAAATAATGTTGTGGCTTTGCTAATTTGGGAGCCAGAGAACTGGAAGTAATCTTGTTTGTTGTCATTCTGTACCAGGATGGTTAAAATATTTTGATAAATCTGGCTAATCTCACAGTGGTTTGCAGATTCATAAATTTAAAAGACTGCAGATCACTAGCATACAGTGGTGCCCCGCAAGACGAATGCCTCGCAAGACGGAAAACTCGCTAGACGAAAGAGTTTTCCGTTTTGGAGGTGCTTCGCAAAACGAAGCTCCTATGGGCTTGCTTCGCAAGACGAAAATGTCTTGCGAGTTCCTGCAGTTTTTTTCCCCTTTCCCCCCCTTTTTCTAAGCCGTTAAGCCGTTTATCTGCTTATCCGATAAGCTGATAAGCCGCTAAAAGCCGCTAATAGCGCTAATCCGCTAATCCGTCAATGGGCTTGCTTCGCAAGACGAAAAAACCGCTAGACGAAGAGACTCACAGAACGGATTCTTTTCGTCTTGCGAGGCACCACTGTACACTATTTTTACCTGCTTTCTGATAGATTTTGTCAAGCTTTGAAAGGCTAGTAAAATATGATGATCTAATGAAAAGACAGTTGTGTTAATATACAGATTTTAAAAACCCCAAAATAATTATCCATGTTTCTCTTTACAGCATGCTTCCAGAATCACCAAGATGGTTATACTCCCAAGGGAAGACAACAGAAGCAGAGAATGTGCTACAATACATAGCCCTTGGTAATGGGAAAGAAAGACTGTCTGTGAAACTGAAGCAATGCACAGGAGCAGTAAAAAAGGATGATTCAGCTTCTGGTGTCCGAAGCCTCATTAAGCATCCAGTCCTTCGGTGGCGCACTGTCATCTTGATGTATATTTGGTAATTAATAAAAAGAGCTTCTCAGGGTACATGAATTAGTTGCACACACAAAATAGCAAACTTTGGGCTGTCTGAAGAAATGTTATTCTGCTGATGCCTCATTGGAACAACTTCAAAATTACCTGACATTTCCAAAAGTAGATAAATATTTGGAAAGAGCTATGAGTTTTTCTGAGTCATGAGGCATTATTTTTTTGATTCTGCCTCTTCTGCCCCAGAGCAGAGTTAAAGTTTTTGTTTCTTTCTTTTTCTAAGTTTCATACCTTCTGTGGTATAATGCTTAAAGAGATAATCATTATGAGAAGTATAATAACAGAATTATTATTATGAATTCCATTTATAAGTGTGTATGAATGTGTGTCTAGGGGGATTTAAGAGCACAAGGTCCATCTTTTTTAAAAAAGCAAATTTATTTTTTAAGGGTATCACTCCACAAAGAAGGTTACAACTGAAATAACTACTATACAGTATTCATTATTTCTTGATGGACTGCTTCATATGTTGGCTTTGTTTTATGACTGTAGGTTTGGGGTCTCCCTAAAGTCTTTTGTACTAAATATTATACTGGATGTTGATACAGTCAGAACCAGGTGCAAAATAATCACTAGCGGTGGACATGCAGAGAAATTTTCTTTCTCTAGTTCTTTTAGGGATTAAGAAAGAGAAGAAGTTGAGCTGCCTGTATTCTAATTTGATTTTGATCTTTCTGTATCTAGTTGAAATGAAGGCTGGTGTGATTGAGGTTTTGATGGTTTCAACAGAATCTTAATCCAGTTGTCTAAATTTGTTGTTTATGGCACAATTACCTTATTGATGTATTTGAAATGCACCTGAATAGGAATTGCACCACAAATGGTAAAATAACATAAAATAACGTAATCACACAACTAGCAAAATCTCAGGTGGAGTTCTGTTTTGGTCCTTGCTGTTACATGTAGCATTGCTGTATGCTTATTTCTGTTGTGTACATATTCTTTATATAGTACAAAGATAAAGGTTACTGTTGCATACATCCCTGACCTTTGAGGATCTGCATTAGCTGATCAACCTTTAATTGATACATTTAGGTATGTGTGCAGCCTTGTCTATTATGGCTTAACACTGAACGCTGGAGAATTGGGAGGAAACCTATATCTAAATGTGGCTCTTTCTGGCCTGGTAGAAGTTCCAGCATTTCCACTCTGCATGTTCTTCATTGAAAAATCATGGTAAGATTTATTTATTTATTTCCGCCCTTTGGCATCTTTGCTTTCCTTTACTTGTATAGTTGACCCTTAACAGAAAATATAATATCATTTCTGCTACATTTTCTCTTTAGGTCAGGAAGACGTAAAAGTACAACTGCTTTTTTGATATTTTCAGGCCTTGCCTGTATATTCACCATGTTCCTACCAGAAAATAGAGGTGGTGAGTATATGTCCTTTCCTAAGTAAACATTACACACACATAATTCATCTCATCGAAAGGCATGAAAGCAAGTGCATGCAGTATTTTAATGTTTTGTAAAAAGAGAACTTCTGACACAAGCTAGAATCTGCCACTTGAACTTAAATACAAATGTCCTTGAAACAATTAACTTGTTTTCAGTGGAATCTTCTCCAAATGTGGCCAAATCAGAACTTTGCCTTTGTGTGTCATTTTACTTAATGGGGGAAGGTGGAGCTGATAAAAGTAACACATTTCTTTCAAACTCTGTTTTAGGATTTTTATTCAGTCCCAACATCTTAGCTTTATATGGGAAATTGACTGTAAGTGCTGCTTTCAACATTGTATATATTTACACTTCAGAACTCTACCCAACAGTAGTGAGGTAAACAATTTTCTTTTTGTATTTTTTTAAAAATTTTTGGCTTCAAATCCCATACGATTCTCATATACCAAGAGCAATAATGCGCAAAGAAATGAAACCTCATCGGCAAGTGCATTCAGCTTACAAGCTACAGGTGTGCCAGCATTAGCATTGCTGTTCCTGAGTTACATGTTTAGAAGCTTGAATGTTTTAAATCATGGAGATTTCTCCACATTTCAAGTCTTTCTGGGACAAAATGATTCATATATACAGTGGTA